TCTAAGAGGTAAAAAGGTCATCAACTCGGAGTAGGGCCTTCTCTGCTGTGGCGTCCAGACTCTGGAATGTACTTCCCAGAGAGGTATGCCTGGCACCAAGTTTACACTCTCTTCCTTGCCAGGCTAAAACCTTTTTATTCAAATGGTATTTTAAAATTAATGATTTTTAACCTTAGTCACTCTTGTTTGTTTTTCTGATTTGTTTCAATGTATTTATTAGAAATTGATCTTTTAACTGTTCTTTTAAATATTGTAAGCCATCCTGAGATTTTGGTATAATAGGACGGCATACAAAAGCTTTTAATAAATAAAAAAAATCTTTAGGACCTTCCTAAAACCTTGCAATGATGGAGCCCTGTAGATGGCCAATGATGAAACATTCCAGAAGCTATAGCAGAAAAGGCCCTATTTTGTATTCACTCACATAACACTCAAATGTGGGCAAATGAGAAGGGCCTTTGTTGCGGAGCTTAAAATACAGGCAGATTGATAAACAGATGAAGGCAGTCCTTCAAATAATTTGGTCCAAAAACCCTTTAGGGTTGGTAAGACCAGAAGTTTCAAATACACTCAGAAACATATTGCTAAGTGGTGCAGCTGACACAGTATAGGCACTAAGTGATTTGATTTCCTTGACCTCACCAATGCTTGGGCAGCTGCACCATTATGATGGCAATGATCATAATCTACTATAAAACAGCAGGCTTCCCCTTCTGCTGCTTGCAGTTGATATCCATTGGACATGGAGACAATGGCAAATGCATGGAAATTTTGATTGGATCCTTCCCGGGAGATAAAGTTTCATAAAGTGAAGTTCACATACATCTCATTCCTATGCATGTTTACTTGAATACAAGTCCTACTTGGTTCAGCAGAACTTACTTTTACATACACAGATGGGGGCGTTATAGTGTGCCAGTAAAATCCCTTGGACAAGAAGATCTTGATTCTCAGTGCTGTTGTTGGCTTGTTTTTCCTCTGGGCAGTGTTAGGGGTTGGGTCCTGCTGCTGCTTAAAGGAGAGGCAAAGCAAGTGAGCAGACAAGTGTTGCCTCTCCTCTTACTTACCCTGTTGACACTAGCTTCTTTGAGTGGACAAGGAGACAGCAATGGCAAGAAAGAGCAGTGAACCTATTGCTCAGGCATATGCTTTGGCAGTTGCTTAGTAATCTTAATCTCCCATGTTATTTTAATTGACAAAATTCATGGCTATGTGTTGTTGTGTTCCCACCTGCAGCACTCCTATCGGTAACTCTGAAGACATCTGCAGGAGTTGGGTCAATTGTAGCCAAAATACTTCCAAGGTTCTGGTGCATAAATGGGAAGTTCATTGGTAATCCAATCATACTGTCTACAAAAGGGAATTGTCATAATTGTCCATCTTAGTAGTGGGTAAGAACAAATACCCACTTTATTATAATCAGGCTTCTGTAAATTAATGAACTAAGAACAGTGAGCCTATATGGAGAATATATTTTCCAAATTTGTTTGTAGTTATAGTTAGCCCTAATTAGAACAATTTTTCAATATTATGGTCATCGAATAGATTACCATCCCGATTATCTTTTATTTAAATGGGAGAGAGTTAAGCAGATTGTGTATATCTCCCATGGAAACTGATGGGACTTCATTTTATTTATTTAAAAATTTCTATGCCGCCCCATTCGCCAAAGCCTCGGGGCAGCTTACAAAACATCAGTTAAAATATAAAACACTAAAAAAATAAAACACATTAACATTATAAAATAAGTCGCCCTGGCCAAAGAATAGTTATACCCCACCATTTTTCCTACAAGGAACCCAATATGCCTGTTATAATCTGTTCCTCTTCATTTTATCCAATATTGTGAGGTAAGTTAAGTTGAGAAGCTGTAACTGGCCCAAAGTTATCAAGTGAGCTGCAGAGCTGAGTGGGAACTAGAACCCAGATTTCCCAAGATCTATTCCAACATGAACCATCATGCCACACTTTGGCCAGATACATCCATGGACTTCACCCTTAATGATGCCTATCTTATAAGCAGACCTTCAGCAAGTGCCTGAGAATTTCAGCTGATTCATAAAGAACTAGCCAGACTTCTGTGTAGTATGAGATGTTCAGACCATATCACCCTCATGTTATTCCTGATTCACTTGTTATGTATTTGTTTCTGGACCCAGGTGAAAGTGCTGGTGTTTAAGATCCAAATCTCATAAGATTAAAATATCTCAAGAGCTGCCTACTTCTGTATGAATCTGTCTGTGCTCTCTGTTCCATGCTTTGGAAAACTGTATTTTTATGTTTGTATGTTGCTGCACCCTACAGGATTTTGTCAAATAGAACTCAACCATTGAAATGTGTAAGGTTTAAAGAAATCCTTATTTTGTTACTGTTCAGGACACAGTATTAGCTCCAAAGCAGCTATTGAATTAAAAATTGGTAAACTGAAAAGAAGCTAAACAAATGGAGAAGTAGTATATAGCAAGGGGTCTGATGTATAAAATGTCAGGCTTTTACTGGAAAAAGCAAAGACAAAAATGAAAACACCCTATGTGCATCCTTTTTTCAGTCTCAAACATTAGATAACCTCTGCTTGACCCTCAGTATATAATTGAATACTTTGCTAACATTTTGCAGTACAGTATTAACAAAACAGGAATACTGTATAAACAGCATACATATTGCTCATCAAATAGATTACAATCCAGTCACCTGTCTCATTGATTTAGGTAAGAGATTGTGCTCCTCTCCCCTTATAATCAGTGGAACTTTAGTTGGATAGCTAGTTTATTTTAGAAGCAGGGTAGTGTGGTGGTTAGAGTGTTGGACTAGGGATCCCAGAGATTTGGGTTTTAGTCCCCACAGCCATAGAATCATAGAATAGTAGAGTTAGGGTCAGGGGGCCATCAGGTCCATCCCACTGCTCAGTGCAGGACTCCAAGTTAAACCATCCCATGAGGCTAACTGGGAGATTTCGGGCCAGTCACTCTCAGGGTTGTTCTTGTGAGGACAGAGTGGAGCTATGTAAGCCACCTTGAATTTATCACAAGAGGACAACAGTGATATCTATGTACATGGAATATAATAAATGCACATGCACATTGGTATGTCATGAGTGGAGCCGGCTGGAACCAGGGGTCAGACTAGGCCCCTTCTGACTCACTCTGTTTCTATGTTTTTGTTTCCAAACAATAGTAATGTATGCGTGGCAATTGTCTTTAATAACGCATATATTATAACCAGGAGTTGAGGAAATAAGAGAGACTTGATTTGCATTTCATGCTGCAATCCCTGGATTGTTTAAACTGCAAGCACTCTGCCTTGTGTGTGCATTTCATTCCTGCTTTCAGTTAACAGTCTAGGAACATCCTGTTCCTGGGTTGTTTCATAATATGCAGACCCAGAAATTCTAGGTTGTTTGTGGATTAAACAATTCAGAGAATGGATTCACACAATCACACAGAGAAAATAAACCTCCCCATGCATGCTGGTCTTGAGCCATCTAATGGGCATAATTGCCCTTGCTAGGTATGGGTACTTGTGACATCCAAACCATTCCCAAAGCCAGTAAGGCTTATTTTGCCTATATAAGAGTTAACAATTGCCCATGCTTTTTGTTGAGCTAACTGTAGCTTGTTTAACCCATAAACAAGCCAGAGTTTCCAAGCTGTCATGTCACAAAACAACTGAATCCTAGGTTAATTGAAAGCAGAAATTACCAGTCCACTGAAGGCAACATGCTCACCATTATTCTTGACCCCAACAGTTCCTAGCTAAAATAAGAATTGCCACGAAAACCAGATAGTTCCTAAGAACAAGGAAGCTCTTCAGACCTTAGGTATATACAAATCAGTACTTTGATAGCAAGTGTTCTTGTCTATCAGAAAAAGATACACATTTTAATGCCACTTTCCATTGACATTGATTAATGCTATAGTGATGCTGTGTTATGAACTTTCCTATGATTGCTTGCTTGCATCATTCTCACACTGGACTCCAAAAGTGGAGTCCTAACAGTGTAAACACAATCCTATACTAATAGGAAGCTCATTATAGGAGTGCTAATCCTTACTTAACCACAAAGTCACCATTGTCAGGTATTAGTAGTCTTGAAAAGTAAAGAATGGTTTACAGAAATACAAATGATATTATAGAATAAGGAGAAAAATGCATGAGGGGAAACCTCAAAACAACCTAATGAGGACTGAAGATTCACAGTAGTCACACACTGATGAGGGTCCACTAGGGAAAAAAACCCAAAAAACGCGGGGAGCAAGGAGCATAGAGTTAGGCAATATAAAAATATAATAAAAAATAATATCCAGGTGTAGCCCAAGACGTGCTGCTGCCTAAAGTGAAAGTCAAGATCCTATTCCTTCCTATGTACAAAAGAGAACTGGACTAGCAATTGATTCTTCCTTCAGTGTAGGTAACAGGCCAGCAAGCATCCACCTGAAGGCAACTAGCTAGGAAGCAGACAGCAGGATGCAGGGCACACAGGTCTTTTCTCTTGACACCTTCCTACTATACTCCCTTGCTGGCTAAGCCAGCTGCTTCACTCTCACTGATGGTAGGACGGCCCCCCAGAGTATAGTAGAAAATCGCATGACCGAATGGAAAATGATCATGAGTACTCCACACTAAATAAATAACAGCTAGTAGCGGGTGCATCATGCTGTTTAGCAATGTTCTGTTAGCGGACAATCCTCGCTACACAAGCAGAGGTAATGGAGCTTCTGACCTCCAGTCTCAGATGCGCGCGCTAAGCAAGAGGGCTCCATGAAACGTGCTCTCTGTACATGCTCAAAGAAAGGTCCTGTCATGTATCAGCACTGCATATACTCCTCGGACTGAAGCTAGGCAGCGAGTCTTGGAAGCAGCTTTGAAGCCCACAGCGCCCAGGAGGAGCCGAAGCCGCCTTCCCCCTGTTTCACCGGCAAGCTCGGACCCTGAGCCGCCTGGCAGGCAAGCAACAGGCTTGGCGGTTCAGAGCGACGACACGTCATCTCCTCGAAGGGCACAGAGTCCTCCTCGACAGGACGACTACAGCTCCCAGGACGCTTTGCGCGGCCCTTAAACCGGAGTCCCTTCCGCCCGGGCGGGGAAGGAACCGCGAGGGCGAATAGCCGGGCTCGGACCCGTCGGAGTAGAGGCGGGGTTGAGGGGAAGGTTGCCGAGCGGAAGCGGGCTCTCCTGGCAGCGAGGCCGGCTGGTCTTGGTTCCGGGTGTCACTTACTTGGCGACGGAGGAAGTGGGGAAGGAGTCGGACATCGGGGGAGGGGAGGAGAGAAGATGGCGTCGGGCTTGGAGTCGGAGATCCAGTCTATTGACAGGAGGTTGCTGGAATGTTCTGCAGAGCAGATTGCCCTGGTGAGGCCAGCCGCCGTCTCGGAAGGGGCTACCAGTGGACCATGGCGTAGGCGAGGGCGCGAAGAGCCGAGACGGGGGCAAGACGAGCTGCGAGGGGGACGTGTGGCGGGCGGATAAAGGCCAGGGGAGGAGGCGGGCCGGCGGTCAAGCGAAGGGCGGAGGTCGAGGACTGGACAGGTGTATCAGGGCCTGGCAGTAGGGGGTGCGTTGGAAAGGGACCAGCGGGAGTTCGACCGTCTGGCTTGCTGGTAGACCAAACAAGCGTAGAGAAAAAGCGGGGGCGGGCGGCTACCGGTGGGTGGGTTTTGAAGAGAGGTGAGTGCCGAGGAGTTGCAAGCGAATAATTAGTGGATCTGATTCCGCCGTATTGGAGCACGGAGGAGAAGGAAGATAACTAGTCAGGAAGGCTGAATTTCGGGGCAGGTGATAAGTAGATGGGAGGACTGTGTTTGAAAACAAGGAGGAGTATAATAAGGGGTCATCACGGATAAGGATCTCAGACGCACACAGCGTTCGGGAGACTACCTGGTGAGCAAAAGGGTGGGAAAAACTGGTTAGTTTGTGCTGACCCATTAAGACAAACCTACCTTCCTTTCTTAAGGACAAGTAGGTAATTTGGGTATATAGCATAGCAGTCTACAGTCTTTGGTGGTGGCTTTGTAAATTGATAAAGAAGGCTATTGTCCACAAGAAGTCACTGTGCAATAAACTTAATTGAGTCTTGAAAGAGCTGTGCTTTCCTTGTTTTAGTGCTGTGGTTGGCTAACATAGCACCTGCACTGGAACAGGTCAGGATCTGTCAAGAAAATTACTTTGTTATATCAGACAGGTTGTCCCTGTGAACATGGAAAAGAGGGCAAAAGATCTTTTGATGAGGCACCTTTGTGGTAGTAGGAATTGCATACTGTCTCAGCTAAGCAAAGATTGGGTTGTTGTAGTGACTGACAGGACAGACGTCATTTGAAAGAGAATGCAAGCCAACTGCAATTGCCAAAGTGACTGGAACAATGTTTCTTTTCACTTAAAGTTAAACAAATACTAATTGTTATTTTGGTTTGTTTGAGATATGTTTAATTAAATTTATAAACTACTCTGTCAGCCAGGTCTTCAGTGTCAATCTTCATGAATAGGATATTGTGGCTCACATTAAAATATCCCCCTTTTTTCTAATTTTGAACTCCTCTTAAATGTCAGGAGGTGTTCTTTCAAAATCTAATCTTCACAAGCTTCCAATGTCTTCAGAAACCCTGTTTCTGGGTATCACTGAGGTTATGGTTTGGCAATCTAGTAGTGAAGATGTTCAATTATTTCTTTCCCATTGGGGAATGTACTTTCTAGTTACCTCTTAATCAGACATTCTCTTAAAGCTGGTCATTTGACCCATGCCTGTTCAAGCTCTTAGAGCAGGGGTGCTCAAACATTTATAACGGGGACAGTTGGAAGGTGCCTGTGAGGGTGCACACTTGCTCGCAAGAAGATCCTTTTCTCTGAGCAAGTCCAAAATGAGCTCCTTATGAACAAGCTGGTGCCTTGTTACGTGCTCGCGCACAGCGAGGCCAACTCTCTATGGTGGGCTGGATCTGGCCCGTGGGCTGTAGTTTGAGGATCCATGTCTTAGAGGTTAGTTTGTAGGTAATTTAGACTAAATTCATTTGGTCTTTAACTGGGATGGAAGGACAGTTCCTTCCAGACAAATGAGTTGTTGGACCTACTATTCTCCTATGGCTGAATCACACTTTTGGGACATTCCAGAAGGCAAGGCAACCAAATAGACAAATGGTCAAACTCAAAAGCCTCAGTCCAGTATGAGTTCAGACTAAAGTAGGAGTGGTCAATATATTTTATTTATTTATTACATTTATATACCACTCCAATAGCTCAAAATGTTCTCTGGGTGGTTTACAAGCATTAAAACCCCAAGTCCTAACACTAAAATACCTATTAAAATGCAAAACTCTAAAAACAAGCAAGTGTTAAAGGGATAGAGTCAGGTAGGAGTCGAAGAATCAGGAGCATGGAGAATCAATCACAAGGCAAAGTACTAAGCACTGGCAGAAAAGGGACAAAGCTGTTCCAGCACTAGCTAAGTTGAAAATTAAGATTATTTAGCCAGAGTTTCCTGAGCCCACCCCAGGGTTCAGCTGCTATATATTGCAGGCCCTCTGGAAAAATTCCTACTCAGGAGGAGGGCCTTGCTTCTAGGGAGTCCTTTGTAATTGAGCATTTCTCGAAAGGAAGACTACCTCTTGAGGTCACAGTGCTCTTAGCCGCTTACCCAGCCTCCACCTCAGAGGGAGAACTTCCCTCCTCCTGCAAGGAAGGGCTATGCGATCTCCTCTGAGGTCCCAGGATCTGCCAGATCTCTGAACATGGGTGTTGTTTGTTTTTGGGAGCTCCAGCTCCTCCTCAGAGGAGGAAACCCCCAACTGAGGCATGACATCTACCACTTAAACAATTCTGTGTCATGTCAGAAGACTACTGAAATGTTGCATAATTGCAAGGCTGGTAAATAGATAAATGTGGCATTAGGTTTTGCCATCAAGTCTGCTTTTAATATAAGATAAATAAGGTGCCATAAGCTTGCTGCTACAACTTGAAAAGTTCTAACAGTCTCCCTAAAATATGTATAGATTTGAGTTTGATCTAAGCTCAGTAATATCCTCAGCACCTGCTAATCTGCATCTGTAGAACTGTATATTCTGCCACATGCAGACTTAGAACAAAATGTCCAGCCACTTGCAGGGCTGGAACCAAAGCAATTTGAAGCATTGTATTGTACTGATTGTGACAATTTCTAGCACGTTAAATAAACACTGTAATTTTTAATAGGTATACACTATGGAATCCTGTTTGTAATATGTAAAACTATCATTTTCATCTGTTTAGATGTTCATGCTTATAGGTGCCCTGTGGTTACTACCAGCTGCTTTAAAAAAAAAGGAACAAACAATATGTATATCTTTAAATATTGCACTCTTAAAACCAGCAATCAGAACAAAGGAAATTACATATACAATGGATTATCAGGTTGTAACTTACAACTGGTATGTTATCATCTGATATTAATTAATACTCACATTCAGGTTTTCTAATTTTACTGCAAATGTGGGCTTATCAAATTACAAACAAAGTTTAATGCCTCTTCTAAAAGGTAGATTTTATTATGATAAAAATGTTCAGATAGCATGGTGTTCATACAGTTAACAGCTGGTAAGATTACAATTACAGCATATAAGGAGGCCTTTTCAGTAATAGTACTTGCCCTCTGGAATACTCTCCCACATGTAGTTCAAGAATGAGAAAATGGGTGAAATTGAGAGGTTTCTAAAAGGTACACCTGTTTACCCTGCTTTCCCTAATATGTAACTGCATTGTTTTTTTAATTTTCTCTGTAATATTTTTAATGTATTTATTTTGAACTAGTTTTCTATTGTTTTTGCATATTTCGTATTTTGCATGTAAACAGCTTAGAAGGTGTGATATTGAGATACTCATAAGTAGTTTAAATAAACAAACACGAGGCTTAATTTTTCTGTGATAATTCATCCATCTCATAGTTGATCTTCCTCTTCTGTCTTTGGCTTTCCCTAGCATTATTGTCTTTTTCCAGTGAGCCTTGCCTTCTCATGATGTGCCCAAAGTACAGCAGATTCAATTTTGTCATTTTTGCTTCCAGGAAAAAATCCTGGCTTAAATTGATCTAGGACCCACTTGTTCATCTTGCTGCTGGCACAGGGTATTGAGAGAACTCTCCTCCAGCACTGTGTTTCAAATGCATCCATTTTCTGCCTGTCAGCTTTCTTCTGTATCTAACTTTCACATGCCTACATAGTGATCAGAAGTAGACTAGTGTAGATTATGTTGGTCTTGGTTTCCAATGAAACATCCTTATTCTTGATTATCTTTTCTAGTTCCTTCATTGTTGGTCTTTGAGCTCTCATTCTTCTTCCAAAGTTTTGGCTGCAGTCTCCACTTGAATTGATGACTGAGCAAAGGGATGTAAAAGCTTTCACCCTTTAATTCCTATATTGTTAACATTAGATTCATGTAATTGTTTTATAGTCATGGTTTTGTTTTCTTAATACATAACTGCAGTCCTGTTTTTGCACTTTCTTCTTTCATTTTCATCATCAGTCCTTTCAGTTCATAGTTGGTTTCTGCCAGGAATATGGTATCATCCACATACCTTAGAGATATATCACCTGTCAATTCTTCCTCCTATCTGAATTGGGCTTTCTTTATGCTATGTTCTGTGTTACAGATTTAATAGATAAGGATACAGAATACACTCTTGTCTGATGTCTTTGCCTGTAGGAAACCATTCTGTTTCTGTCCTATTCTGTCCTAACAGTAATTTCTTTTCTACAGTACTGGTTATTCATCGTGCCATTCAAATGCTGAGGCATGCCCTTTTCTTTCAGAATCATCCATAGCACCTTGTGATCCACAAAAGGTTTTATTATAGTCTGTAAACCATAGACTGATCATCCAAAATCCTTTGGTGTGCTTCGGGAACCAACATATATTCATAATATGTTCTTGAGTGACTTTTCCTTTTTGGAATCCAGCTTGAACATCATTGATTTCTCATTGCATATGGGGTAAAGTACTTGCTTGCAATGCCTTGACCACCACTTTCCTTGTATGAGAAATTAGTGCAGTGGGACAATGGTTGCTGCACTCTTTTGCATCTCCTTTCTTGGAGATGGAATTGTATATTGAACATTTCCAGTCTTTGGGCCATTGATTTGTTTTTCAATATTTGTTGGCATATTCATCCTAGGATTCTGACCAATTTAGTCTCTAGCTCGGAATTTCTCTTGGAATAATTGTTTTGGTAGCTTGTATGGTCCAGGTGCTGTATTCTTTCTAAGCAGTTTTTATTTTGCTCTGTAATATTGCTGGTTCGTCCTCACAGGATTGCTCTTTGAAGGAGTTTGCCATGTTTATATCTCTTCCATATAGTTCTTTCATATATTGTTTCCACCTTCTCTTTATTTTATCTTGCTCAGATAGTTTGTTTCCCTGATGGTCTTTCAACATTGCTAATCTAGGTTTGAATTACTCTCTGATTTCTTGGCTCTTCTAGAAGAGGTCTCTTGCTTTTCCTTTTTTTTTGCCCCTTCTGTTTCTTTGCGTTGGCCATTTTAATAGTTCTTTTTCTCTATGTGATAGTCATTGAAAGGTTGAAGCTAGGATTCTGACCCTGTTTCTGTCACCTTTTGCTTATCATTTATCCTTACCAATTGCAAGTGTTTCTTCTGTCATTCATCTTGACTTTTTCATTCTTTTGGTACAGGAATATGGTGTTCTTCCCTACCAAGGTCTCTGGTTTCAATACACATATTCTTTTTTAAAGTTCATGATCATTTGGATTCAGTAATGCAAATCTGTTTTTAGGTGGACTTTAAATTCCTCAGGAATATTATGTAAATTTTATTTGCCACTGTGCTTCTATTAGCAATCTTTCTCAACTTTATTCTAAATTTCAATATTAAGAGTTCATGGACACTGCTACAATCTGTGCTTGGACTTGTTTTGGCAGTGAGAATACAGCTTCTCCATTTATTTCTTCTAATTGCATCATCATTTTGGTTTATGTATTGGCCGTATGGTCATGTCCATGTGTACAGTTGTCTGGCAGGTTGCTTATGTAATTATTACAAACAGATTCACAATACAGCAGTGCCCATATCATTGACAACTTCTGCACATTGCGAAGCACAGTTAGCTTAAGTATCACTACCATTGCCTGTGGAAGATTCTCTGCCAGTGTTGCCTTCAATTACCACTGCTGTCCGGTTTTTATTTATTTATTTTATTTATTAAAACATTTTTATGCCGCCCCATTCGCCGAAGCCTCGGGGCGGCTTACAACAATAAATTAATATAAACATTAAAAATCCAAAAAATACAATATAAAATAAGCCGCCCTGGCCAGATAAAATCAGTTAATACTAACAGTTAAAATACCGCTTAAATAAAAAGGTTTTCGCCTGGCGCCGAAAAGCAAATAACGACGGCGCCAGGCGGACCTCTCTGGGAAGCGTGTTCCATAAGTTGGGCGCCACCGCAGAGAAAGCCCTCCTCCAAGTAGCCACCCTCCTAATTTCCTTCCCGGAGGGTTCCCGGAGAAGGGCCTCTCCCGCTGATCTCAAGGGGCGGCTGGGCATATATGGACGTAAGCGCTCCTTCAGGTAACCAGGACCCAAGCCGTTTAGGGCTTTATAGGTCATTACCAACACCTTGAATTGGGCCCGGACTTCAATGGGAAGCCAGTGAAGCTGACGGAGAACTGGAGTCATGTGACCATAATGCCCAGTCCCCGTCAACAGCCTGGCAGCTCTATTTTGAACCAACTGAAGTATCCGGACCATCTTCAAGGGTAGCCCCACGTAGAGCGCGTTACAGAAGTCAAGACGGGAAGTCACCAGTGCATGTGTCACTGTCGCCAGGCAGTCGTTCTCCAGGTAGGGGCGCAGCTGATGAATCAGCCGAAGCTGGAGGAAAGCGTTCCTCGCCACTGCTGTTACCTGAGCTTCCAATGAGAGCTCTGGGTCGAGGAGCACTCCCAAGCTGCGGACCTTGTCCCTAGGAGGGAGTGCAACCCCGTTCAGGGCAAGGTTGCTGCCATTCATCACTGTTCAAGTTCTCCATTTCCTCTGCTGATGTGACATGGGTGGTTACTCCTGAAGACTTTGGATGCCTCTTAGTCTGGTGTCTCCACTTTGGCTGTTCTGTCTTGGGTGACCTTGGTTGGGGACCAGCCTATTGAGAGAGTCTGGCCTCCTGGTGGCATTGTCCTTGGCTTTTCTGACACTCACAGACCCCTTCACCATGTTAAGGTGTTCTTTCAAGTAGGGAACTAGAAAATACAATAGTTGTAAGTGTAGATTTGATTAATAAAAATTATATAACTTTTATGACTCAAAAGTTTTAAATATATATGACTATCCTTATAGACAATTTGCTGAAGTAAGTCTTAAAATCATAAAATTACAAAGATATATGTCTAAAATATGTTTCTTGTCTAGGCATACAGGGCATGTTTACAGTATAGATAGCTACAAGGCAAACCTGAGTGTGTACTCAGAAGTAACACTTAAGACAGCCCATGCCTGCAGGGTGCCAGGAAACTGGTTTGGTCATTGAGGGTGGTGGAAATCATCTCATTGTCATGGTCAGATGACTTCTTGGTGAAGCTTGGTCTCACAGTGCTTGTCCCTCCATGCAGAGGCAGGGGACCCATTAAGATGATCTGCCAGTGGAGATTTATGGAATCTGTCAGATTCTTGAATGCACCGAAGGATTTTCCAATAGCCAGAGTTGGTTATTCTGTTGAGCTCCTCATTGCTCTGTGGAATGATGGGATGTGAAGAGTCACCAACCAAAGTGATTGAGTGCCCTCTTTGGTACTGTGGAATTCGGATGCTTCCTGGTTTATTGATGAGCACTGGGTGATGAAACAGTCTGGAAGATGACTGAAACCTCAGAGTCATCATGAGAATGCCCAAACAGATGCGAAAGTGCACACATCCTGTAGAGTGGTGAAGGTGGCAAAGCAGACATTCTTTGCTGTCTCTTGTGTCCTTGGTTTTTTCTTCCGCAGCTGAAATTCTTTTAAGTTTCCCCCTGCATGGCATTTAAACAGAGAGAGAGAGAGAGAATTTCCATGGACAGCAATGCATGCTTTGGACTCTGGGAAATAGACCGGAGGCCCATAGATCCAGGCCTTGCAGTGCCCCTGGGTTAACAGATCATTGCATTATTGTATGGTGCCTGTGACCCTGAAAGAGGCAGTGATACAACCACTCTGGAAAAAAATCCCTCCTTTGACCTAGAGTCTATGCCAGCGGTGGTTCAATCACAAGAACCCCCTTCATGCATAAGCTGCCTGAAAAGAGTGTTGGGGTTTCAGCTGCAGGTGTGTTTGAGTAGTACTGGTTCAGGCCTGAATTGGGAGCACAATTGGACTTGTTTGCCTGATTGCATAACCCCTTTTGCGGGGGGATGGCCAGGGAAGTGTACCTTTGTTTTTTTCTCAGTCATTGGACCACAGTATCCTCCTGGACTGTCTCTGTTGGGAGTTAATGGCACTCTTTTACACTGGTTCAGTTCTTAAAAGCATATCTGGAGACTTATCATTGGGTGGTAGTGCCTCAACCTTCTAGCAGCTGACTTGTGAGTTGTCCCAAGCCACAGTTTTGTCCCTACTTTTATTTAATATTTATATGAAGTTATTGGGAATGTCCTTAGGAGATCTGTGATAAGGTGTTACCCTTATGCTGCTGATACAAAGCTCTTTTTTCCTGTGACTATTCACATTCTGGCCACCCCACCCCCAATCCTTCAGTTGGTTGTGCACGCCCAGTTTGCCTGTGACTTGTATTTCTTGAATGACATTTCCACACACTCAATGCCACATGGTGGACTGCCTTGAAACTCATCACATATGCATGGAACTGGGGGCTATTGAGTAGAAAAAAGTCAACAGCTCATTGGACATACCTGAGACCCTGTGGACTATACTAAAAGTATCTTTCTTGATATTAGACATTGTAATTTATTTTAATCGTAAAAATACTGTTCCATGCAGGACAGCATTTCCATCATTCTGTTTTATTCTAAAGAAAGAAATTGGGTAAATATAAAATATTTTAATTTTGTAATAATATGTTTTTTCTTAAAGAAATGGCTGAAAGTATCTGATCTTCCTAAAGAGATATACAAGCACTTAGCCTACTATGTACCCAAGATTTACTGCACAGGACCTCATCCAGCTCCACAAAGAGAGGATATGCTGGCACAACATGTTTTGCTGGGCCCTTTGGAGTGGTACCTCTGTGGTGAAGATCCTACGTTTGGCTTCCAGAAACTTGAACAAGCAAACAAACCTTCACATCTTTGTGGCAGGGTTTTTAAAGTTGGAGAGCCTACATACTCTTGCAGGTAAGTAACTAGCCCTTTATTTTATTTATTTAACATTTCCTTGAGAATGCCTTTCTGGGTGAAACCCTCTTAAGGCAGCATAGATAATATTATAAAACAGAAAAATCAGTAAAAATAAGAAATAACAGCAACAAACAAAAAGATGCCAACAATTAAAATGAAAACAGCTAGCTCAGGAATACTGTTGAACTCACAAGTTCTTTAATAATAACATTATATGAGACATGTACAACTTGAGTCAAATGAATAGCTATCATACACAGTGTTATTGAGCACTTCTGGATTTTCTGTTCAGAATGATTGGTAAGTGGGTAAAATTGTCAATTATTTAATATATAAGCTATTAAAACGTAGATCAGTTTTGGATTTTTCATTTGCCTCAGCGTTGACCATAGAGCCGAAAAGACTATCAAATATTTATTCTACAATATTGGAATTCAGGCATTTATTTAAGAAGGAAAATTCTTTTATCCACACAAAAATTCTAACGTTGATAAGAGGCAACAAAGTTCACCCAGATTAGTTCAGGCTTTCTTTGGAAAAAGTGCAGAACCATATACTTCAAAAATCTGTTACCTGCTTAAGCATGAAATCGTACTCATAGGTTGTTAGTGTGATGTCCAAATCAGTATACTTTGCTTTGTTTAGAGGGTAAACAAGCCAGAATTTATCCAACAACAAATCATAGATGAATTCTATGTTATATAACTCAGAGCATCTTATGGCAAAAGCCTTTGAGTTGAACAATAGTAGGTGCTTAATTGAAAGTGGAAGTGTGAATCATGCCAGAAGCAGTGCATATGCTCTCACTTGCACCCACCAAGTTATTGATTAAATAACTCAAAATATAATGTTACGTTCTTTAGAAGGATTTAGTAAGGTAAATAGAATTCTTTAAAGGCTTAACAATTGAGCTATGCCTGTAGGGCTTACACGTATAGAGTCTGATAACAACATGAAGTGATAGGTGTCAGAATTGCCTGTTGCATATGTATTTCTTGAATCTGCAGCACTGCAGCAATTACACCTTGTCTGAACTTTCCCCACTGGGAGAGCTTTCCTAATAGTACTTACTGTGATGATGTGAAAGGTCATTCCTAGAATTCCTTAGCTTGCAATGTTATGCACACCGAAAACTGTTTGGTCAATAATCTTTTAAGAAGCCCAGTTGCCTTGCTTATTACTTTTGAATTCTTTGCTCTTTGAGGAAAAAATGCTGCCTAGACTTGAATTTAGCAACTTCCCCCAATAGATCAAGATGGGGTTGCAGCATTGCAAAAAGGGATGATGCCTCAAGAAGGTTGGCAGGATTGGCAAAAGAGGTTTTGTACTTGGTTTTAATTATTGTGAGACACCCAAATAGCTTTTGATAGCTTATATTTTACTCTAATATAAATATTTTCAGTTTTTAAAATAGTCTGAGGTGCAAAATTGTGGCATTCCACTTGCCAGCTTTAGGATAGTCACCCACATCTAATCAGTGGGATTTCTATCTGTATAGATGGCTTTGGATTGTGTCCCTTATATATTGTAAGATTTCTCTTGAACACTTGAAATGTTTATTTTGCTTTTTTATCTTTACATGTTTTTTGCTGTTTTTCCCCTGCAGGGATTGTGCAGTTGATCCTACTTGTGTGCTATGTATGGAATGTTTTCTGGGAAGTGTACACAGAGAGCATCGATACAGGGTTAGTAGGGTTATATATGCTTCTTGTAACGTCTTGTGTTTTATTCTGTATCTAATTTGTGACTCAGTCATAGTATATTTTATCACAGTCCCTTTTCCTTGCCTCTTCTTCTCCTGCCTGGAGAAAGAGCATTACTGTACATAGAAGTATATAGGCAGAACACTTAGGTTGCACTAAGGAGTCGTTATGGTTTGGGCACATTTTGTTGTTGTCATCTGCCATCACAGATGTTGTCTCCAGTTTATGAATGGATGCCCTCCAAAATGTCCTGTCCTTGACAGCCATGCTCAGCTCTTGATTAAAATTGGAGCTTGATTAAACCATTGGAGTTTTCTGAAACTCAAGTTTGATTTTGAGGTTCATAAACAAAAATGATAGGTGTGGTGCTGGTAGAAATGTTTAATGAATTTAATAGCAGACAATGAGTGAACATGTCAACCAGATCACAGATCACTCAGTACTGTAATTTAAAAATTTAACAATGACATATTTCTTTTAGTGCTTTTAACCCTGAAGTCATGGTGCGCCAAAGGCTGAAATTAACTAATCAGCCCGACAGTTTGCAGTACACAGCTGGATGATCATGCTGAAGTGTGGCACATACACCCTGCATTTTGAATATGCAGCCTCTAGTTGGGACACCTGTTGTGGGACTTGGTCACCATGGGTTAGCTGAGAATTAAACAACCCTTGCATAACCCTATTATGCACCCAACATGCTTTCTGGATCATCATAGCTTAAATAAATGTGAACTGCGTCAGTATTTAGCAACATAAATGAGCAGGGATCTTCCCATTAAGGTTGAATGTGGTATCCATGTATTCCGTTTTGCTAGCCAGCTGTGAAATCAAGTCCCATTAGATAGTGCAACAATATTGCATGCATTTAACAACATACACTTAATTCAGCTGCAATCCTGTATATACCTCCCGGTCAGTAAATCGCATTCTAACAAGGTATTTACCTGAGCAGACATGTATAGGATTATATTGTAAAGCTCTATGTATAATAAAATTTTTCTTGCTTTTAACCTGAGATTAACTTCAAAGCTTCTTTTAGGGTTTAAAAAATAGTTTTGAGGCTTTTATTACTCTATGCTAGTCTTCCCCAAACACTCATACTCCAGAAATCTTAGGCAGTTATTTCCATCAGTTCCAGTCAATGATCTTGCTGGCTGAATATGATGGGAGATGTAGTCCTACACCATTGGAGATATTACTGTTTCTCATACAACCACAAAATGAGGAGGAGACATGGAATTAGGTCAGTAATGTGATTATTAAGAATTTTTGACTAAGATACCTTCTTACAAAGATAAGGAAGAATGATGAGTTTTTCAAGGAAAAGTACTGTGGTATATTTTTATTTATTTTTTATTTATTTTTCGATTTATATCCTGCCTTTTTCCTCAAAGGGCTCAAGGCAGCTTACATCATTCTCCTCCTCCATCTTATCCCCACAACAACCCTGTGAGGTAGGTTGGGCTGAGAGTCTGTGACTGGCCCAAAGTCACCCAGTTGGCTCCATGGCTGAGCAGGGACTAGAACCCAAATCGTCTGAGGCCCAGTCCCGTGCTCTTAACCACTACACCACAATGGCTCTCATCTTAAAGAGTAAATGCTACTGTAGCATGAGTTTTCAGAAGCTATAGCTTACTTTCCATTTTAATCCATTCTGGGTCCCTGAAAGTCTCTATGTCAGGTATGATTTTTTAAAAAATTAGCTTTCATGGTGAAAACAGATTATTGTCCTTTAGTGATTATCATTTTTGCTCCAACAACTTGCATGGTCAATGATCTACATGTAACTCAGTTATGAACAGATGTTGCTATACTCTTAGTGACTGCCTAGTGAGGAAATTCAGAACTTGTCAAGATAAAAAAGTTATTCTACATGTATTGTCACAATGTAACACTGAAGCCCAAAACATTTTAACCAATAAATGAATTAGTAAAAGTTTCTATTCAAGGAGGGATAGATTGGAGAAATTGGCACAAAGTAAAACACTGCCTGAGTTCCCTCAATTCTTAACTACGTATTTCATTTGTAAAGTTGCAATCCTGCATATGCCGTTGCCTGAGATTAAGTCCCATTGAACATAGTGGTTGCCTCTGAGTAAGATTATGCACTGGGTTGCACTATCAGACACCAGTCCTAAACATACTTGCTTGGGAGTAAGCTTTGCCGAGTTCCGTTATACTTACTTCTGAGTAAACATCTATAGATTCAGCTTATAAAGCACATTGGACATTTTTAAATGAAAGTTGTTCTTCAGCTAACTGGAATGGAAGACTTAGCCTTTAATTATAAATGCAAACAATCTTATGAAATTTTTCCATTTAAACAACTAATCTGGAGTAGAAAGTAGGAAGACAATGAGGGAAGTATTCAGCATCTGTCTGATTCTTCTCTTACTCTCAGTTCTATTTATTTATTTTAGTCTCTTGCAGCATACTCTAATTCACTGTCTCAATGTTGCGCTCGTGCTCTCTCTCTCTCTCTCTCTCCCTCCCTCCCTCCCTCCCTCCCTCCCTCCCTGCAGCAATTAGGTTTTCAGAAAGGGCCTTCTGTTGCTGGTAGTGTGATATCTGCATACATTCTTGTTGTCTCTGCTGCACTAGGTACCAAAAAGGAGATCTGAGGTGCAGGCCCACAGGACTAAAAATGAAAAGCTATTTTACATAAGTTTTAATGTGTGCATATGTTTAATGGAGTCTGTTTCCTAAGGACAGCTGTTTGTAAAATTACATGTATGGACAAGGGAGGAGAGGGCATCTGATTTCGGGGGGAAAAGCTCCAACAAAGATTCAAGATGTGGGGAGTAGCTGCAGTTGACATACATGTGGGCAAAAAGCCAGTAAATTGAAGGGGATTAGATACCCTGAACGTTATTAGGGCTTGTTTACCTTTGAGTGCCAGTGGACAGCAGGTAGTGGGACAGAAGGCTTCCTGGAGTTTCAGGAATCTCAATGAAAGATTTGGGGTTCCTTTGTGCTTTTCCGTCTGTGTGTTTCCCTCTAACACTGACTTTGCCACTGAGTGTAGGTTTGGGTTCTGACGTGTTGCGCAAAACTGTTAGCATAGTCATTTATGCAGATTCGTACACACTATGAATTTCTGAGTTGTGAAGTCTTTTTCACCACTTTACGAATTGTCTAGTCTGTTTCTCTTACTTTCCAGATTATCAGGCTTTGGATAGAAACATAACAAATCCAGATTTCCTTGTGATCAATATGCTTTTTAAATCCTTTAGATGACAACATCTGGTGGAGGAGGTTTCTGTGACTGTGGTGACACTGAAGCTTGGAAAGAAGGCCCTTACTGCCAAAAGCATGAGCATAACATTTCGGAGAATGAGGAGGAGGAGGTAACAAAATTCAAAATTATACTGTGTTGATGCTGAGGAAACAGGGCTGGATGCAGAGTCAGTTTTAAGACCCCACTTTTTAAGTCTATCCATGCCACCAAAGAATGCCATCTTCACTTTGTCCTATATGGACAGAGTTTGCTGTTGAAGTAAGAAGACTGTACCAAATTTATTATGTTAATTGAGTGTGATTTTTCTTTTTGCATTCATAATTTAAGAAGCTTTGATGTAACTATGGAAAGACTCAATAAATCCCTTTTGGAAAGAGGTCCAGACAAAAATCAACATGTGTTAGATAGAACACTAGAAATAGAAGATAAAAATGCAGTAATAAGAGCGTACACTTGTTGAGTGCAAGCTAGAGAAGAGCCAGGGAGAATGGTTTGCAAGACCCTTTTTGGTTGCCAAGTGCCTACTCCTTCAGCACTGCTATGTCTCTAGATATGGCTCCACTTGAAAACAAATACTATATGGGTAGTACAGTCCAGTGTGGATACCCATAGTCTTCCAAATTCAGATGATTACAGTCATCCCATGGAGGACAGAAGGACTGTAGAGATGAAAGTCACCTCTGCTTTTCTCCTGTCTTGCAAAAGACATAGCCTTAGATGGGCAAAACTGTCTTTTGCTTTAGCATGTGAGGAGAGGAGGCTGCTGCTCCATATGGTGGCAGACCCTGGTTTCTCCTTGCCCTGCTTTTTATTCCCCAAACCCTGTTTCTGAGGCTGTTTTATCTGTCCTGGTTGCAAAGGTGAAGAGAGTGTGCACTGACTTGAGCGCAGTTTCCCAGACGAGCTGGGACCACAGAGTCTGGCAATGTGGGAGGAATCTGGTTTGGGGGTTGAAATCTGTCAGATTTCCTCATCTTGGCTCCCTGGACTCTGGCCCACTTTCTGTCTTTCCTAACTCTCCCTTGTGCCAATGGTTCACATGGGTGTCTGGTAGGGAGTGAATCCAAGAAAGTTGATGAGTCCTGCTTAATGCACACTCTGCCTATGTACCTGCTGTGCAAGTGAAGTTGTGCTTCTGTACATGTGACTTGTGGGCCTTGTATACTTCTGGAAGAATTACATGCTCTGCACAAAGAGGTCAATAGCATTCCCAAGTGTTCATGGACTTGATCTCGGCTCAGTTCACTTCCTGGACAGGACCAAGCACGGGAAGGAAGTCCAATGAGAGCAAGAGAGCCAGATGCTGGCCTGATCTTTGCATCCCTACTAGGTGCTCCTTTATCCATCTAGACAGTGTCTAGCAGCCATAAGATTGCGGCCTAGCTTACAGAATGAGGACCACCTCCAGAAAGTTAGGTATGAGTTTCTGGAATTGAAATGGATCATGACTACCAGCATCTTATACAAAAATGGCTTCCTCTATTTTCTTGCTTTTCCACTATTCTCTTTTAATTTTTCAAAAAATTATTTATTTATTTAAAACATGTTTATGCCGCCCCCATTGCAACAAAGCCTCGGGGCGGCTCACAACAAAAACAAAATACATAAATATAACCATTAAACAGTAAAAATATTAAAACCTGGTGCATCTCAGCTTAAAAGATTTAAAATCCTATAAATACAAATAAATTAACAATTAAAATGAGTTTTAAATAAAAGGGTCTTTAAATCTTATTTATTTAACGATTCTTATTATTTAATAAGATTTAAATTTTATTTATATTCTGCCATTTGTATAATACCAATTGATGTTAGGGAATGGGCAAGGGAGGAGATGAAAAGGAAAATTGAGTTAATAGTGTATTAAAAATAGAATTATTGAAAAACTATAATCAAATATTGAGATACATTATTAGACAATAAACAATCAAAATAACTCTGGTTGAATCTTGCCAAAATTCAGACTCCTAAACTAGTATAATTAACTATGTTCTTTTAGCTTCTTTCAAAATATGAAATAAGCTAGATTATGTGATTTCAATCTTATATTTTTCTCTCATTCCATTCTAGGATCCTCTGGTACATTTGTCAGAAGAAATGATAGCAAAAGTTTATAATGTTTTTGCTATCATGTTTCAATATGCCGTAGATGTATTAACATGGGAAAAAGAAAACGAACTGCCACCAGGTTTAGAGATGGTGTAAGTAGGATAGTTACTTTAAACTTTCAAGACTGTTATAGATTTTCCTGTAATTCCAGCATAATTCACATCATAACCTTGTATGCTGTCCAAAAACCCTCAACTCTAACCAAAATAAATGTGGCATGCATTTAATTGTGTACTTTACCACCCATTAATTTCAATAGAATTTAGGTATGCATAGTTTCCTCTAGGTTGTACTTGAATTATGTATTAGGTTGCAGTCATAAGCACACTTTAATATAAATGCTATTTAGTTCAGCGGGACTTGACTAGAAATGATTAGGATGACTCTCAGATGTTGAAAGGGAACAGCATTTTTAAATTTCTAGTTTTGTTCATCCTTTATAAGGAATCTTTTGAATTATAGTTCTCATTGAAATACCTTTTTATGACTAGTATGTGACCTCTGGTCTGAAGTAACCAATTTTAGACCAGTACTCTGATTGGCCTATTAGCATAGTGTGGGAAATTTATACAGTATTGAAACATAGTGAAATATACTTTGCTTATTTGCTTTCCAGAGGCATCTTGTAGACCACTGTTAGAAACAGGACTGAATGGAGCTTTGATAAGTGTAAATGTTCTGTGATACTCTAAGTTCTGGAACTTACAGGATTATGTTAAGCCTACAGGTCTTATGGTAGAAAGATATGAAGAAAGTTGCAGATGACCTGTCTAGAAAAATAGCCAATAAAAAAATATAGCAACAATGATGGGGATCTAGCATGTTTTGTAGAGTTAATGTATAACATAATGTATGGTACTAAGACTTAGTCACAACAATTCACACTTTTGTTATGTAATCATTATAGTGGTTTCAGTAAATCATACTAAAGTGCTAGAAGGAACTTGATTGGTTTAAATTACTACATTTATGATTTTTAATATTGCCTTCACAGCAAGAAGAATGATATTTACTACTGTATGCTTTTTAATGATGAAGTTCACACGTATGAACAGGTTATTTATACATTGCAAAAAGCTGTCAATTGTACACAAAAGGAGGCCATTGGTTTTGCAACAACTGTAGACCGAGATGTAAGTAATCTTTTTAGACTTTTGTTACAGTTGTGGATAAAGATTATTAAGTATAGTGAATTTTAAGAGGAGTTAGCTCTTTTGTAGTTCCTTCATTCCCGCTGGCTGATCATAAAGTGTTTAAAGGAGCAGAGAAGGCAAGGCAATTTCTGAACAGTGCTGGAATGTAGTTCACTGCTTAATTATTCCTGTAATCTGGCCCTCTTATTATTTCTCAAGAAAATGGAATACATTTGATTTTGTCTTCCCTGTCATCCCTTTTCAAATCATGCTATGGAACTTGGGACATCATCTTACTGGATGCCTTCCCAGGCTGAGATTTTTTGGCAGTACATTGTCAGGCTCCTCACCACCGCTGTCACCTGCGCCTCCAGGGACAGTTCTGGGCCAAGGAGCACTCCCAAGCTGTGGGCCCTGTCCTTTAGAGGGAGTGCAGCCCCATCCAAGACAGGGCCAAGATCACTTACCTGAACACCTGAACTGCCTACCAACAGGACCTCCATCTTAACTGGATTGAGTCTCAGTTTATTGGCTCTCATCCAGCCCATTACCTTGGCCAGGCTGCTGCCTCACCTGCATTAGATGTAACCGAGAGGTAGAGCTGGGTGTCATCAGCATACTGTGGACTCCGCAGCCCAAACCTCCTGATGACCTCTCCCAGAGATTTCATGTAGATGTTAAAAAGCATGGGGAGCGAGATAGAACCCTGTGGTGCTCCATGGCAAAGTTGCCGTGGCACAGAGCTATAGTGGGATATAAAATAATAAATAAAGCTTCAGTTTTCACAGGATGGAAGCCCCTCAATCACAAAAGTACTTTTTGAGGCTGTAAATTAAACAAAATGGTAGTGAACAAAAAAGGGTATCAATCAGAGTTGGTATGTTGTCAGATTTGTGACTGAGAACAACTCATGGAGACCTCCGTCAGGTGCATAGTAGATTGTTCAATGAACCACCAACTCACTGTGCCTTATTTATAGGGCAATTTAGTATGTATGAACCTACTAATTATCTCATTGTACTATCTGCACCCTGCTTCACAAATGGGACTTAGTGAAGTGAAAAGTAGATACTGAAAGTTGCAATGCATATTGAAATTACACATTGCATGTATTCGCTCATCCTGCCAACCTATTCTGGGAATAAATCAGAGTGGCTTGGCTGTTTCCCAAGCAACCCCTAGTACACCCAAAAGCCGGTCAGACTCACAGTGGGTTGTTTGCCCCTTCCCTTGCCACTGGTCCTCCCATGGGTATCCTGGAGACACACTAGCAAAACTGCTTTATCTCTCCATTCCCCCTGCAACTGCAAGCTATTCTCAGTTCAACATGACTTTTTTCCCTGTTTACCCCTTTTTTCTCTCCCCGGAAATGCCAGCTTTACAACTAGTTTTCAGGATTCCTAATTTGACAGCTCCTTTAAAGTGCTCAAGCAGTTTGTTGCTGTTAGACCACTTTTTAAAAATGTGAGAAAATAGGTTTAGGAAGAGGTTTTTGGTTGCCGTTTTGCACTGTGAATTCTTCCTGCCAAGGTAAGGGAGGTGCCAGTCCTGAACATTGCATCAAAGAGGCTTCAGTTAATTATTTCCCCCTTTAGTTTCTCTTGACAGCTGTACAAAGGTGAGCTGTCAAGCAAAACTAACAATGTGAGTAATCCATGTGATTTATACTCCCTTGTTTTGTTCCCCATGATGGTTCTCAGGGTGGAGAATATTTTGCACTTTCTTCAAAAATGGCTCACAATCAGGGCATGGATGGTGGTTAAACCAGTACCAGATGTCTCCACTATGGTACTTATGCGTTTTCCCACTTTCCGATGCATTTAAATGCTCAGAAAAGGGAGGAAAATGTGGAAGACCCTGAGAAATATCAGGTCCGTATTTAAACCATAGAGGATTTCTCTGCAAAGAGGGGGATCACTCCCTTGTGCATTTTTTTTTTTTTTTGCATTTTTGAAGATCTTCCTGTAGCTTTGTTTTGTGCTTCACAATTCATCACTTGACAGCTTTATAGTGAAACTAAAGTAATATGTTTGAAACCTGGCTTTGTTGCTGTTCTTGAATGTTGCCTGCTTTGACACCAGGCATTTAGCAAGACATTGACCAGCCAAGGCTTCACATTTTAGGTAGTCAGATTTACACACATGTTTATCAGTGAAATACTACCCTATACATGCATTAACTAAAACATTTGTGTACATTTCTGGTGTAAAGAATGCTACTCCACTGTGCTGCTTGGTCACTTTGGAGGGGATGTCACTAAATCTCACTTTGGAGACCACATGAAGTAATATTCATTAAAAAGGAGTACAGGTGTGGCCACAAAAGGAGTCATTATCTGAGGGGGAAGTGGAGATGTTATTGGGTGAGGACCAAGGGTTCCTAGAAGGGCTCATGGTGAGCCTCTTCATCTGCCAGGTACACTCTCTTTCTCTTAAGGGGATCTGTGTTCCTTATGACATATTTCCAAATTCTTGAAGGATTGCATAGTTTTGTTCACTTTTTTACTTATGATCTTTGCTACATTTATAACATATGTGACAGAAATGCCAAAATGTATGTAAAACTGTAGTTTCTGTTGTAAATGTAAAATTCTACTGCTTGGATAAGCTGGATTTATGACATTTCATTTTAGGGTATAAAATGAATACAAAGTGTAACTAGTTAGTTATGTAATATGTGTTATTAGCATAAATCAGCATTGATATTCTACAGTAGAAGTAATTTAGAGTAGAATGGGCACTTTTTTCTGGTTTGGGCCATAATCCTATGTATGTTGAAGCAGGAAAAAGTCCTGCAATTTCCTGCATTCCCTAGCCAACATTTTTTATCATTCATTATGCTATTAAAATATAGTATTTAAAGTTTTGGTTAAATTTTTAATGAATTGATAATAGACATGCAACTTTTCAACAGGGGCGCAGGTCAGTTCGCTATGGAGACTTCCAATACTGTGATCTAGCCAAATCAGTAATAGTGGTGAGTTACATTGCTTCCTTTCCTTTAACTGTCAGGGAGCAGTCCTATGCATGTTTAGTCAGAAAACAGTCCTACAACTCCCAGCAATCTACACGTTCATAGAATTGCAGCCTTAATAAATGGTTATTTCAAAATTACTGTAGCAGTATATTTGTGCACTGTTTAGGATGATGATTGAAATGTCAAGAGTGTATTTCTAATAGGTTAGTATCATGCCTCTAGGCTACTTGTCTGATTCCTGTTCTTCAAAACCTAAACATTGGTACATTCTACTTTCAAAGAGTGATCTGTATAGACGTAACCTCCAGGAATGGATTATCGTAATGTATGTTTAAAGGAAGTACTACTTCACACAGTGTATAGTTAATCTAAGGATTTTGCTGCCACAAAAAGTACCAGTATGCACCAGCTTGGCTGGCTTTGAACTCATGATGGATAAAGCTATCAGTGGCTATTAGTCATGATGACTGCTGTTAGTAATAAAAGCACTATTCCTCTGCATACCAGTTCCTCAGGAGTATCGGTAGGAAGGTGCTGTTGTACCCATGTCCCGCTTCTGGGATGCCTAACGGCATCTGATTGGCCATGCTGTTAACAGAATACTGGACTGGATGGATGGATCTTTGGTCTGGTTCAGCACAGCTCTTCTTACTTTCTTATGCTTGTCTCTGAAGACTATCCATAGGCTGCATTTCATTTAAAATATAGCTGTAGACTGTTAACTCCCCAAATGGGAGTTGGATGCTCCCCCCCACCCCACTTTCTAAACACTCATAGGCATAGGATTGCACATAGTGCTGTAATAGCTACATTTCAGGCACAATTCAAGGTACTGCTGCTTAACTTCAGACTCTTATACTTCATGGGACTGGGCTACCACAGATCACCTATTTCATCTGCCTGCTTGCACCTTAAGATATTTGGAGGGTCTGCTATTTGAAGTGACGTGAGTGGAGGTACAAGGAATCTACTTAAAATATGTTTTATAGAAATTTTGTCTGGTGGTGCCCCAGTTATAGAATGTTTGCCCCTGGAAAATTCATTTAGTACCTACTCTATTATTCCTTGGTGTCTGGAGAACCCCATTGTAATAGTTTTTGTCCCTTTGAAACTGTTTTTATGTAAGATTAACATCTTTTAGTATTGCACGTTGTTGTTTTTAATATTTGTCAGTTATCAGTACAAGCCTTTCTTTGAAGGACACAGTGCAGGTTTAATAATGAATGGATTGGATTCAGGCTTAGCCATACATTGAGTAGATCCACTGAAATCAGTGGAACTTGAATTAGTCATGACCACTTAAGTTCTGTCTATTTAAATGGGTCTACTCTATTCAGTCAGGATTCAGTCCACTGAATATATAAATGAAACCGATTGGGAACCACCTCCTTGAAAAGTGGAATATAAATGAGTAAAATACATAAAATAAATGAGCCTTCAGATTCTTGCAGTGTACTACAGATCACCCTGAAGTATGGGATATTTATAATTTAAGACCTTGGCAATTTCATTGAGGCCTTGCTCTCAGTAAGGAAGAATAAGATTGGTGTATAAAGTGTGTAACTTTGGATAATGTACTAGGTTGCAATCTTAAATTTGTCTGTTAGAATCTAAAGTCAAGAGGAACAAATGAACCTGCCTAAGATATTGAACCTACTTAAATTGTCCTGAAGTATGTTCACCCTGCACGTTGCAAAGAGAATTGAAATTTTACAATTGCTGCATAAAACATTGTAGGACTATAGCATTAGATTATTGGGAAAGTGTGAATAAATTCAAAATCTATTTTCTTTGGGTTTGTTTAATGTCTTAATTGTACCTGACTTTTTTGTGATCTGGCAAAATGTATTAACAGCTTCTATCCCTTCCCCTGTCCCTTCTCCTCCTTCTGCTTCCTTTCTTAAGAGAAACACCAGTCGCCAGACTAAGCCACTGAAGGTTCAAGTTATGCATTCATCAGTTGTTGCCCATCAGAGCTTTGGTTTGAAGGTTCTGACTTGGCTAGGCAATATTATTGGATATTCAGGTACTGGAATTTAAAATGTGACATGGGTGTGAGGGAAAATGTCTTATTCAAAACTAGAAAACTACCTCTTTCTGGGGACCAAATGCTAAATTGGCAGGCACAAAGGCATTTTTTTTTCTTCCACAATCATATTCAACATATTCATAGAGTACATTTGTGCGCTACGTTGAGCCACCCAGTGAATGAGCTGAGATGGGCTGATAGTTTGCTGAACAACCCATGGTACATCCAATACATAATCAGGGTTACCATGGGCTGTCTCCCCCTTCTTCCCCCTCAAATCTCTAAGCAGCACCAGCATCTATCCCAGTGTCCCTTGTAGCAGAAACTCCTTTCTTTCCTTATCTGTGCTCTGATCTCTGCCACCTTTCATTTGCTGCCAGTTTTTGTTTTTTGTTTTGAACCTCAAAACAGCTGAAGTTATATTTTTAATAGTTTGGCCTTTGAAAATTGAGCAGTTATGTTCATAGATAGATATTATCTTGGTCTTTCACAAGTGTGCGTCTATGAATCCCTGATATATGTAGTCATGCCTGGCCAGTTTCTTTGTTTCTAAGACTAAGGGGGGAGATACTGCCCCTTCCCCTTTGGTGCACATGTTTTGGGCTTTTCCTCGCATTGTCTTTGTTTTTGAGTTGTACCACCTAGTCCCCTCTCTCTCTTACTGTTAATGTTCTCATATCGTTTACAACTAAGTGCAAATTGGTCAATTCTCATATCAGCCAGCTCATATCAGATAACCATCCTGTGAAAGGCCAAGCAAAAATAAGAATAGAAAAATCACAATCCCAATTGCACATATTTGAGACTTCAAAATATAAGTCTAAAAACTTTGGGAACAAGTAACGGTCTGTTCAAGGTCCCATTTTGGCATCAGTGGAAGGGCAGTTATTGGTGAGAGCATGAAAACAAATAGCATGAACTTTTTTTTGCTGCTCTTGCTGGCCAGCTCTGTAGACAGTCGCAGAAACCCACAATAAAATCAGTCTCTTGGATTTGGCAAACATGACAGCCCTACAACATTTTATGGGTTCTCACAGAACTAATAAGCTACCCAAATTTGAGAAAATGCTCCAGATTCAGATGACATGACAGCCCTCCATAGCTAGCTGCCCATGGTTTTGACACGTGTGCCTACTACAAACCTCCTACGAAGGCCCATTTTTCTCAGGGCATGAGGGCCAAACTACTTTTGATATGAGGAAGGTCCACAACTGGATTCCTCAACATCATTTGCTTGTTCTAGAAGCAGCCACATTGGCACCTAATTTGTATCAGAACTGTAAAACAGGTGGTTGGGTGAACTTAACTCTTCCTGCTATGCAGATCCCCAGTTGGAAATTGACCCTGTCCCTGAGCTGCTTTTGGCTGTGAATGAGGAAGAATACAGGCACAGCACTGTCTTTACATTTGACCTTTTGCATCTAATAGCTATGAGCAGAGGTTGAGCTGCATCAGATCAGTGTAGGGGAAAAGGTTGGGACTCCTTCTCACCACTCCCAGATATAAATCGGGTGTCTCCACAGCTGCCTTTAAGAGAAGAAAAGCAATAATATCATGGGAAGGCCAGTCATGGATCTCCTTTATTACATGTATCTGGTCCTGAGTGGGCAACTTGTACCCTGTATACTGATAGTAAACTCAATGGGATCATTTCACTCTGTGATATTTAGTTGCAGGTCTCACTTACCAATTTTCTAAACAAAATGTTTTCCTAAAGACCTTATGCAACCCTTTAGCCTTCTCTGAATTTGGTTTCCAAACTTGGCAAGGCAGCTGGTGCAGTGTAAGCATAATTGATGTGATTAATAAAAACAGTGTTGCTCCTTGTTTTGATCTTTGTATTATCTTTTGTTTTGAATTAGATGGCCTTCGAAGAATATTGTGTCAAGTTGGCTTACAGGAAGGACCAGAAGGAGAAAATTCTTCCCTTGTGGATAAACTAATGCTGTCTGATTCAAAATTGTGGAAAGGTGAGTTCTGTGTATGCATTTCAGAAAACTCCTTGAGGCACAATTCTGCTGCACACAAGCAGCTTAGATAAACTGCAGAGCAAGAAGCAGCTTGGAAAAGGGAAAGACCCAGACATCTAAAGCTTCTTGCAGGAGGGCAATCTAAGGGGGAAAGTACTGCTCAGGAGGGCATAAGAATATGCATGGAGTGGTATGACCGCCAGCTGTAGCCAGCACAACTCTCAGCCAAACAAAGCGATGGTAACTTCGTATCAAACCAATTGCACTTTCATATTGCTGAACCATTTGCATGTTTGGTTGAGAGTGTCATGGGATGCTGCTGTATGCTGTACCATGTTTTGTGTAGTCTGCTGGGCATCACTTCCCCCTTCTGAAAGCCTTCTTGTTAAGGTACCATGGAGGTGCTGCTATTTTGAGAAAAACAGGTATGAGGCTGTAATTCTAAACAGACTTACTAGGGTGGGGTTGTCCAACATGTGGCCCATGGGCCACATGCAACCCCCAAGGCCTTGTTCTGCCGCCCTGTTGCCACTAGAAGACCCCCATCTCCTGCCCCTTGGAACCCAGCAATGGCACAGGCATGATTGCAGCAATCCTCCTGAGGTCACTGGTCTGTCCCGCTCTCTTCCTGAGACTTGCAAGAGCTTGCCCCAGCAGCCCCCTTGCTAATCCAGATGATGAGCACAAAGGCATTCATCAGCAGGAGCACGTGGGGCATGTTGGGGAGAGTTCATTGGCTCAAGCACAAGAGGCTCAGTGTGCCAGTTCCAAGAAGAATGGAGGGGCCGGGAGGGTCACATGGGAGGGTTTCTTGATGGGAGAAACAGGGAAGAAAGGGATGGGCCATCCCAGAGGAACAGTCAGTTTGCTTGGGCTGTGGTCAGAGCAGGAGCTGCCTGTGATCTCTGCAGGTGCACAAAGTGTTCTTCTGTATTCAGTGTAATTCATTGTGTGGCTACCAGGCTCCATGCCTTGTGGCCCTTGAAGTATGAAAAGTTAGATGGCCCTGTACATTGAGAGCAGTAGGATGCACATCTGATTAAACATGCATATCACTGTGCTTGTAAAGCCCCTTTAGGTCAGACAACTAGACTCCATCTCTTTGGATTGTGACTTGGGCAAACAAAGCTCTGGAGCGGTTGTATGTGGGGCTTTTTCCTCACATTGGCACTGAGTGCTGAGTAAACATTTCAGAGTTCTGCACTCACACTACCTTTTCTACTATTGTTACCGCAGCATTTTTCTCTTCAGAACTTGCTGCACACTTTAGACCAGAGCTACTCATGTTTCTATGATTGCTGTACTATAGGAGCCCATATTAACATGTATCTCTTTTGAAAAAACAACCGCAGGAGCTAGAAGTGTGTATCATCAATTATTCATGAGCAGCCTACTTATGGATTTGAAGTACAAGAAACTTTTTGCTATCCGGTTTGCAAGAGTGAGTAACTTTCTTTTTTCTAATGAAAAATACTTTAAAATGAAGTCAGACATTTCAAATGGAGCATGGAGGTTGTAATGCTAAACAGTAAAGAGTTCTTCATGTCTAGGTGCTCCGGGACACATGTAGCAATCTGTGTACTTTCAGGCACTGTTTACTTGAAAAACTGCATGTGCAGAGCTAGCTTTAAACTTAAAGTCAGAAGGGCTGTTCACATATAAGGGTGGTCTTTAGTAGCAAATCATGGTTACTGAATTAATTTACAGGGATGCAAACTGTGTGCAAGCTGTTCCCAGTTTCCAGAAACAACCTATGAGTCTGCATTTGTAGGTTATCATGATGTCCAAATATGGGCACTTTGGGTTGTTCATGGGTTATACAAACCAAAGTTAACCGTGGATTCTCCTTGGTCAGGTTTCATAGGTTTCCTGCTGGAAACCTGGAACAGCTAATGTGCATCACACAGCTTCTCAGTTCGTGAGTTAATTGACCTACATTTTGCTGCTGAACAAATGCCTTTACAAGGTCAGTGTGGAAGCTCTCTGCTGCTGGATCGCTTTGGGTACATTAGATTATAGTAGAGTTTTAGCTTTGAAGTTGAATGTGGGAATATATATTCCTAAATGATTTGGAGGTCAGATGGTAGCCACATTTGTAGCAATATAGATCAAAATATTATCTAATGCAAGATATTCTCTTTGATATATACAGTTATGTTACTTTACCACCTGGTAAAGTTCCACTTCAAACCGATAATGTTTTGCGGGGAGAGAACTGGTACCTTTTTTCCTAGTAACTTTAAATGGTCAGAAACAGTATCCTATATCGCTTATGCACCAGCAGGATTCACTAACTAGTATAATAGTGAGTTAGCACTCATAAAGGAACCAGAAATGAAAGGAAATATTTGTTTCTGGAACAGGGCAGTTCAGCAGAGCTTGCAGAAGGTGCTCTACTGACATGTCACGACTGAGAAACAATTGTTTCTGCTCATACTCAGAATCCTGCTAGCCCAGCAAAATGAATAGGAGCTCAATGGCACTACGGGATACTGCCCCATGTAGTCTAACAAGTGTAAGCATTTTTATTTTCACTGCTTCCCAAAGATCTTCTTCATATATTGCCTAAGCCCAACAATATTTTCTATAACAACTGATGATCATGGTTCCCCTTATTATCTTCCTGTTTCTTGACCCAAGTTTGCGTTTCACTGATTTTTGCACCAGTACAGTTTCAACAAAGAATTTTCGCACCATAAACATTAAATTTAGACAACATCCAGTCAGTGCAGATTAGAGGTGAATTTCCCCTTGTTGTTTAGAATTACCGGCAGTTGCAGAGAGATTTTATGGAGGATGATCACGAGCGGCCAGTGTCGGTGACTGCTCTCTCTGTTCAGCTCTTCACTGTACCTACTCTGGTGAGTAGTGCTGCCCTTTTTAAACTGATAGCTGGCACCCTTTGCCTTTTTTGCCTCCTTCTTAATAGAATTATGAGCGATTGCAGAATGATTATGTGAAAGATGACCACGACAGAGAGTTCTCAATTGCTGACCTCTCAGTACAGATATTCACAGTGCCTTCACTTGTAAGTATTTAAATGTTGAATGAAACTGTTAATTGCTCTGACTCACTCAGATCTAACACAGGCATTGTTTAAATATGTATCCAAATCGTTACATGGAGCTGAAGTGGCCACAGCCTCTGGGAAAGAAAAACACGCTCTGTTCCCACATCAGGATCTAAATTACTGCTTGCTTCTGGGAGACATGGGTCCTCCACCCATACTGCATCCTGTTCTAGCACATCACCTTGGCTGGCAGGGAAAAAATGCACCTGGGGGTTTGATGTAACATTTAACGTTGCAGTTCCATCAAACCCAAATGTATATCACCTTTAACCAACCTTAAAATGCCGTGTGAATGATTGCTGTTTACTCACTGTTTGGATATGATAATCTTTGGCTACAGAGCCCATACCTGTAGGTTCAGTTGCTCTCATCATGAGGTGTTAAGCTAGTCCCGATCCTGTAAAGTTAAAAGCAGCCTTTCATAAGCTTGACAGATGGTGGTGAACAAAAACTCTAGTAGTAGCTGTAGGCAAAATCAGTCATCAAGGCAGGTAAGGGTGCTCTTGGTATCCTTTCTCTGTGATTTCTAAACATGGCAATGCACTGGAAATGCATTGTAAAATGTGACAGTGACTTTAGCAGTGGTCTCAGGCATTTCCCATCCTCCCCAGAGATGAGCTTTCCCATAAACATGCCCTTTCCCAATAGGTCCTGTTCTGTTTAGAATGTCACAGGCTCAAGCCACAGGCTCTGCAGCTTGCACTGCAATAAGACACCTAATAAGGTTGGACACCCTGTTGCAAGCTTTGCTCTTTGTTTTATATAACACCATCCATGTTTGTAAAATATTACAGAGCTTCTTGGGTGAAAATAGACAGATGGCTGCCCTCCAGGTGATTTACAGTTTAAAATGAGCTATGGTACAAGGCAGCTGGGAAAGCAGCAAGCATCACTTCTGCTGTATTGTTAGATGATTAGAATAGCATCAGTGTTTGTGTCAGGGTATGGCTGTTTCATGGGAGAAGTTCTGTTCTCGGGGACTCCACATGCTAAACAAAGGTGGACAAGCCATAACATCAATAACTTAGGTACAGTCCAGGGAGACTGCCCAGAACCCTCCAAAGTCGGGCATTCATTGTAGAAGGGCGGGGCACAGGGGTAAAGGTTGCCTCTGCACACTTCCCTTCTGCAAAACAGCTAAAAGGCTGATTTTGGCTATCTAACTGTGGTGTTTTGGAGGGAGAAGAAGCAGGCATATCACTGCTGCAATATGTCATATCTTGGTGGCAATGATCTCTTCTTCTTTCCATCCCTGGAAGGCTGCCCTAAACCCATTCTCCAAGGCCACTGTTCCTAATCTAAGAAAAGCAATCAATTAGTTGTTTTCCTAGCTGGCTGCAAGGTGGAGCTGGGTGTTGTGAGCATAAATCCCTACCTCTAATTTCGGAGCTGTTTTTTTCAGCCTGGGAACTGGAAATATAGGCTATCTATAGGATTGCTCTGCCCAAGCCTTTTAAATATATATGTTGTTGGCACAATTTCCATGAGCAGCATCTCATAGTATTATACTAAGCAGTAAAAATATTAACGTACTTAATGACTATTCATGAAATTTGTAATATTTCTCACTAGGAGCTTAATCTGAGTAAAATGTATTCATGCTTCTGTTAATTGGCCTTGAGGTTGCGGGCAAATATCTCTTTCTCAGGGCAATAGCTCTTTAGTCATATGGTAATATTCCTTTTGTATTGCAAACATGCATCTCATTTCACTGGCTTTGGCGCACATACAAAGAATCTGGAATGAACAAGTCAGCCTTGGTTGTTCAAAGCTTTGTTTATACCTGCAGGATTCCAGTGTTCTGCTCATAAAATTTCATCAGGTTTACAATCCTGGAGGAACAAAATATAAATATAGATGAAGCTACAAAAATACCAAACCACTGAAAAAGCATGAATAAAATAGGTTCTTTTAATGCAAAAATACTGAATCATGGCAGTTAACTTATTCAGTTGTTTTAGGCTGAATACATGTAAGCAGTATTTTAAATTAAATGTTTATTTTAATTTAACAAGATTCAGCACAAGTACCTTGGTATCTTCTAGATACATTTGAGCCATAGGGACAGCCTTATTCATCTTTAAAAGTTAAATACTAGCTATAGATATAGATTTGTAATATTTTATCCTGTCTTCATAGTCTTCATAGAGGGTCTTCCATTCTTACGGGGTCTTCCATTCTTAGGGGGTCTCCCATTCTAGAATTGGCTGTATTTTGTCCAAACTACTTTTTTGTAGAAATGGCACATCATGCTCCAATATCTTGGATGTTCCTTATTTCTTGGAGTCGTTCTTTCTTCTGTATAGCAGACACTCATTGAAACAAACTTAAAATGTATTTTGACATAGGCTCGAATGTTAATAATAGAAGAGAACCTCATGGCTACTATCATCTCAACATTTATGGACCATTTGCGACATCGAGATATTCAGGGCAGGTTTCAGTTTGAACGCTACACTGCGTTACAGACTTTCAAATTCCGAAGGGTCCAAAGCCTGATTCTGGATTTAAAGTAAGTTTGTTTAAAATTAATCAAACAATATATGTCTGCATAGATACACAAATCAGCTTGCAAACTTATTTCTGCTTTACTTAGGTATGTGTTGATAAGCAAACCAGTTGACTGGTCAGATGATCTAAGGCAAAAATTTCTGGATGGCTTTGATGTCTTCTTGGAGTTGCTGAAGTGTATGCAGGTAGGTAATTCTTTAAAAGTACTATATTAGTTGTGAAGAAACAAATGAGATGGTGTCAGTTACTGCTAGTCTTCCAATAACTTAGACCGTTTTATTTTGATAGATTTCACTGAAGAGTCAGGGTCCTGGGTGGATATAGTTTCTGTACAGCTATTTCTTTTTACAGTCTACTGTGTTGACCAGGGGTGGAAAATCTTTTTCCTAGGATCTCTGGAGGGCAGAGCCAGATTTGATGACTGTTGGGGCTTGCAGTATGGCATGATGCCTAGTAGTTTACCTTTCCCCCCTCCTACCTAATCCATCTGCATCTGTCTCTCCCTTTCCAATTTTGCCCATCTCACTTGAAATTAGAATGAGCGGGGCTCATTATGTGTTGCAGTTTCTTCACACCACTTGTAATCACGAGGCAGAACCTGCTGGGTCTTAGCATTGACCCTACCCTATTTTATTCACATTTCCCTTTTAAACTCTTTCAAGGGTATGGATCCAATAACCCGTCAAGTAGGACAGCATATTGAAATGGAACCAGAGTGGGAAGCAGCATTCACGTTGCAGATGAAGTTAACACATGTCATCTCAATGATGCAGGATTGGTGTGCTTTAGATGTAAGTTATATTTTGTTAATTTACATTCAAATAAATTCTGATTAATAGTATAGCTAATGTTCTTAAGGCTTTTGCAAAGGACACATAGCTCAGTAACATGATTTGTTTAAAAATTTGATGCCTCTGGGAGATGAGGGAAGAGAGAATGCCCCCCTCCACTATCCCACTCAATTCTTGTTACTAGCCTACTAACAGGAACAGCCTTTAGTAGCCTGTGTTTCTCTGCTACCATCAGAAAAGACTATCAGACTAGTACTTGTTTCTTTTTGTTGGCTAGTGACATTTGTAGGCTCACTCTATGAGGGTGAATGAAATTTTCATTAGCATCACTCTTACGCTCACCGCATCTAATGGAATCTGTCTGATTCTCACAGCATTTCTTCTTTTAAATGTGACTGTGGGCCATTGAGAATTGAACAGGATAGTGGAGGGGGCAATCTCTCATCCCTCACCTCCTACAACCCCCTCCTCCCACACATACTGTTTTCTGTGCTTGTCATAGAGAAAGAGGCTTTGCCTTCCCTGCAGCTTCCATGGAAATGAACCAGGCTGGTAGAGGAAAGATGGAGTGATCCAATTCTTTTCCACCAGCCCCATTATACACCTGCAAAGAATTCTTGGTGGTTTATGTCTAGCAAGGAAGTTTTAAAGATGAAACTGCTTTAAATTTATTTTATTTGTTTTTATTTAGAACACCTCTTTTCTGATACCTTATTCCAAAAGCTCTTTGACTAGCTAATAAGGGTTTAAAAATACAATAGCACAACAGCTGTAATAAAAATAAGCAGAACAGCTCAAGTTTCTTCATGCTAGGTCAGATTAATACACAGTCTTAAAAGTTTAAAAAGTGAAATGCCCTTGGCAAATTGAAAGGGTTTTTATTTGGCTGGGGAAAAAATCTGAACATTCCAAGATTATTATCTTGTCCATAGCAGTGCCCAGTCTTGGGGATAGTGCTGAAAAGGGCTCCTGGGAAGAAACATGCTATCTGGGCAGGTTCATGTGGTTAGATGGTAATCCTTAAACTAGATTAGGCTACCCCTTCGATTAGAAGTCTGAAATTGAAAATGATGCAAAGACAGATATCCTTTTGCAAGCCAACAAAAGCTCTTTTGCTTATAGAGAACTGCTTTTGACCTAGCAGAACAGTATTGTGTGAAAGGTGAGGTGAAATTCACAAATTTTATTCTGCTTGCCGTTATGGACAGGAATAAGATATCAGGAGACTTAGGAGAATCCTTCAGGATTCCAGAAGTACAAACAGTCTTCAGGAAAAAAAAGCTGAAGGGGTTAAGAATCCCCAAAACATCCTAAAGAAGATTGGGTGTGCTCACTGGCCACAGAATAAAGACTACCTGGGGGAAATTGGTGGGGGTACATTGCCCTGTTGGATACTGCCCCCAGCTTCTAAACTGTATAACCAAGTCATAGCATATTTGTACTCAAAGGAGATGAACAGAGTAATTCAACATGAGTGGAATAAGTTGCACTTGTTATTTCTGTTGCACAGATACTAATGGAAGATGTTGCACAACCAAATATCTAGCGTTGCCTCTGAGTTTGCTAAGGGTTTGTGAAACTGCGTGTCTCTACACTTAAAAAACTGTTCATAGTTTAAAGTAGGAGCTGCAACAGAAAGTTACAGAGTGGACTATGCCTCTTCAATTCCCTTCTTCAAGATTCTTAATTCTATTCATTTTGCCTCCTGGTTTTCCAGTTTGCATGTCCCTGCTTATTCAGTTCCACAAGCAGCCCCTCCTGCCATTTAATTTGTGCAATGAGAATTTAATGCTTCCTAGTGGAAGCCCTGAAACCAGTGGCAACACTAGTCACTGAATCAGGGCAGGTTGGAAGAGTTCCCTTATGTGAGCACTGATGACCTGCACCATTCCAGAAACAAGTGATTTAACTGGTTTCCAGTTGCTTCTGTTGCATAAGCACTAGGCACTGCTTCTGGATTGGAATCAGCAGGGCATAACAGAATGGGTGGGCACAGCACTCCCACCGGATCCTGCCCTGTGTCTTCCTTCAATGAACTGCGTTCAACCTTTATAGGAAAAAGTGCTAATTGAAGCGTACAAGAAAACTCTGACTGCATTGATGCAATGCCACAGCGGTTTTACTGATGGAGAGCAACCTATTGAACTCAACATGTGTGGGCACTCAGTTGAGACTATCCGATACTGTGTTTCTCAGGAAAAAGTTAGCATTCATCTCCCAGTTTCTCGTTTGCTTGCAGGTAAGAACCAAAACAATAGGCTGTGTGTTAATTTTTGAAGCTCTTTATGCAAGTAGAAAGACTCAAAGTTTAGGTATATTACTCATTATCATAAATGTGAAATTTGTCATCCCATTGCTGCCATCATTTTTTTTCTCAATAAAATGAACTCTAGTCCCCTGCGTAATTTTTGATAGTACTTCAAAGTTTGTGGTATGGGCTTGTAGGCTGCACAGTACCGCTTGCTAAATTATATGCATGGCTGATCTGTTAAGCGTAAATGCACAAAGTTACTTTTAGCTGTAGTACATATTTTCTGTACAATTGAACCAGATTTGTTGAAGTGTAAGATACCACTGGTTGATCATTATTGTGTAAACTATAGCTTAGATATAAACCAAGATGCTAGACTTGCCACTTTGACAACACACAAAAAGTCAGTTGTGTTTTGTCCTAAAAGCCTCTTGGCAAGCTCTCTCTTTTTGTATTCACACGCAAGCTGAAAAAATGTGACCTGTTGAGATTTGGCAGGCTGCATATATGGCTTATGTGCTGCATATGATCCTAGGGGCTCAGAGGTCTAGAATTTTTTCAGCTAGTTAAATGTAAGCTTTCAAATTCCCAGTTAATTGCTCAGAGTATTCTAAAATCCAAACTGTGTCCTGTCCATGCTGGTGGTGATACATGCTTGCTTTGAGGAAATGAAGAATTCATAGGAATTAACTGAATTCATTTTGTATTGTCCAGAAAAGCAATACTTCTTGATGTATGTATGAATGCTGCAATCACATATTTAGTAAAGAACATTTATGTATATGTCTAATAAGATGTGATCATGTAGGAACATTTTGTTCTAATTCATTTAGAAACTGATGAGAAATTGCAGCCACAAAATTTTGGCAACTGCAGTTGCTATTTATCTCAAGGGGTTTTTGGCTTGGCTTCTTCACGCATGGTAGAGATGTGCATATAGCTTTGTTTTGTTTAAAGGCTTTTTTTAAAAATGCAGGTTTGCATGTGCTTCTGAGCAAAAGTGAAGTGGCATACAAGTTTCCAGAACAGTTACCAATGGTGAGTACAAATCAGGTAAATGTGTGACTGTGATGTGAGTAGTTCTTTAAGTAAAATTCCTGTAGACAAAAATTGTTGATGGTAATAAAGTATAATCTCAAACAATACTATGTTTAGAAAAAGTTGTTTTGGTTATTGCTTAAATAATCCTGAAGATAATAGCTGCCTGAATGCCTTTGGAGTAGACTTGCATTTGGTGGGTTGCTGGGGGTTATTTGGAAATAAGAATTGGCAGCTGGGGTATTGGAGAGATCTACACCCTTCTACATGGTGCTCTGCCTTCTTACTGGCACACTGGATAATGCAGGATATTGAGATCAGATTGTTACCTTGTGCTTAGAGAAGCTGGAGAGCTTGTGAAAACTTCTTTAACTGTGGTTTGCTTGATTTTGCTTTAATGCTTAAGATTTAATACAAATCATTGGTTTCACATCCAAGCAGGTAGCTGTTTCTTAATATACATTAAGAATTCCAAATGTAATACTTGAACATAGTTAAGGAAAATAAGCAAAGTTGATTGAAGCCAAAGGATGTTAAAAGTGAACATTTACCTTTTTTTTTCTTGGAGAGGTGGGATTGGATTTCTTCCCATTGATAAATTATCTCATAAGGGCCTGACAATGCACAATTAACATCTAAGGCTTTTTATATGTTTAATCAGAGTGAACTTAGTCCACCTATGCTAATAGAACATCCCCTACGATGCCTAGTTCTGTGTGCCCAAGTACATGCTGGAATGTGGAGAAGAAATGGGTTTTCACTTGTTAACCAAGTAAGTTCAAAATTTTACTCACCTCCTTCTTGTGTGAATCTGAGAGTCATGGGGCAATTTGAAACACTTCCTCCTAAAGAGTTACTTGCCCTAGATAAGCAGTTAGCTGCAAAGCTGTGTTGTACTGCCTTCTATAAACATGTTAACCAGGAAGCAAGTCTTGTTGAAGTTGGAATTTTTCCCACTGTAGACCCATATGTCAGTGAACTAGAAAAGTGAAGTTAAATATTTGTGGGAATCACTCTGAATGACCCCCTTAAAGGGCAGCATATAATATTTAAATAAATAAAATATTACACATTAAAGAATTTTTTTTAGTTTTTAAGAGAGCTTAATGAAAATACCAAATATGTTGGAAGTTTAAATACTACATATGCTGTTAGTGGCTTATCCTTATTTTATCTTATCAGTCATCCAGCTACTGATAAATGGGCTGGCAATGCAGCCTTTTCAGAATAGTCTTGAAGTAGAATATTCTTGCCCACATAGATTTGTATATAAAAATTTACTGTTAAAACAGTACTGTGCCTTCATGGGCCCAAGTGGCAACAGTACATCTCTATTTTTTCCAGTTGTTATAACTTAGCTTGTCCAGCTTGATTATCAAGTCTTTCCCCACAGTAATTACTTCCTGATCTAATATAGGTTCTGCATTTTATATCTTGAATTACCTATTTATAAATTATGAACAATTCTTTCTCCACCAGATATACTACTATCATAATGTGAAATGCAGAAGAGAGATGTTCGACAAAGACATAGTAATGCTTCAGGTAGCTTTGTTTAATGTCATTTACAGATATGTATATACTTGTATTCTTTCCTATTAATGCAGAATGGTTGTATAAAAGGATATCTATACCCTGAGATGTCACTGATATGATTATCTTTTAAAAGGAAGTTTTTCAGATCTCACATGTTCTTATATTTTTGTGATATTTGAAAAAAGGATGTCGCTGTATGATGTCTGAAAGTCCCTCTGCTATATGGTATTTTATGTCTGCTTAAATGTTTTCATTGCCTAGTTCAATGGCAAGATTACGATCCTAGAAGTGAGTCCTGATCATGTAGTAAAATTCCCCATGATCACCTGCCTGCAAGAGGGGACTGTTTTTCTATTACTCATCCTCTTGCATGCTTCCACACCTGAAACAAATCTGCATGCGCACAGGGAAATCTTTCATATTTCCGGCTCCCATGTTTGTCTTATGAAGCTGCCATACTTGACCTGTGAAAACATCACATATGAATAAGTTTTAAACAGAAGTAGCATTATAAAATACCCAACTATGAAAAGCAAAATTTTAGTTTGATCCTTGTTTTTAATGTAGGTGTCACATGAATAACAAATTAAAAGGGCAATAGTCTGAAGTGCCTTTCTTGGGAAAAGCTAAAGATCCAGGTTCATAAATTAAGGCAAGCCATGCTGTGCATCCCATATTTCCAAAAAGTATAGTAATCAATTTTCAAAGAATGCAGATGTCTTGTATAAATTATCAGTTTATTTATTTATTTATCCTATTTATCAGTATAAATAAGCACATTCTTTTTTTTTTTTATAGACAGGTGCATCCATGATGGATCCAAATCACTTTCTTATGATAATGCTGAGTCGCTTTGAGCTTTATCAGATATTTAGTACTCCAGATTATGGCAAAAGATTCAGTTCTGAAAATTCGAATAAGGTAGGTTATGGCTATTGCAAGTTTCATTTAAAACTTTTAAAAACACACTTACAATTACAAGGTGCTGAACATTGGACAATATTGTAATACATTTAAAAATATTTGGAAAACATTCCTTATCCATTAATTCCCCTGCCCCTTTTTCTTTCAGGATGTGGTTCAACAAAACAATACACTAATTGAAGAACTGTTGTACCTAATTATAATTATTGTTGGTAAGTTTGCATTTATTTTGGTCAGTGTATTACAAATTCAGTATCTTTGGAAGCCTAGATGGAAGACCTCCTGTGTGTGGAATTGCATTATGATTCCATGGTATGCTATTTTTTCTGTTTGGATTGAGAAGGAGCACAAATATGAGGGACAGAAAATTCCTCTTTTTTGCTTCTTAACACCACTAGTATGAATAGAAATGGGAATTGCATGTGAATGTGTTCATTCCCTGTTCAAAGTTCTACCAGAATTATAGTCTCTTGTATTTTTCCCCTTTCTGCATGTAATATAAAGTGGTCTTGCATCTAGGCAAGCTGAAAACATGTGTGAATTCCATGTAAAAAGAATTTATCAGAGTTTTTTGATTTATTTTACAGGAGAGAGATTTGTTCCTGGTGTTGGTCAGGTCAATGCTAGGGATGAAATCAAGAGAGAGATTATCCATCAGTTGAGCATCCGACCCATGGCTCACAGCGAATTAGTGAAAGCATTACCAGAAGATGTGAGTCTCATTAAAAATGCTTTCAGTACATCTTTATAAGTTGGACTTTGGGTGTGCAGTACCCTCAGTGTTAAGTGACAGAAGTCTTCTCTTTGAAGTCAGGCAATGGATGAATTATTATTATAGGACATAAATTATTTTTAGGGAACATATATAACCAGTGTGCTCTTGTCTTTTTCCACTATTTTATAGTCCCTAGAAATTAATCACTGTGTCATCTTTTCTTAGTAGCTTGAAGGCATTTTATTGTTGTTGGAACTCAGACACAGTGTGACAGCTTACTGTGATCAATAATCAAATGTATGGAAAGGGAAAGGTTCAGAAACATGGAAAAGGACATTAATCAAGTTACTCTGTATCTGCATGGCCATGTCCTAGATTAGCAAATATAGTGGTGTGCTATGGCTGCAGCAAAATCTCACAGTAGGGGAAAGTGGCCAACCACAACGGAAATGGTGGTCTTCCCCAGCCCTTACCTGCCACTATAACCATGTTTGCTTTCAGATAGAGGACACAGTTCTGAGAGAGAGTTAAACATGCTTATCACTTTCAGATTGGCCAATGTAGTGATGATATGGAGATAGTAGCATTTCAGGAAAAGTATTTGGGAAGTAGGAGCCAATCATATGTATGTCTAGTAATGTACAATTTTCTGTTTCTTTTTCTGTTATGCAGGAGAACAAAGAGACAGGAATGGAAATTGTGATTGAAGCAGTTGCTTGTTTCAAGTAAAGCCCTTCCCACTATCAACTTTTTAAATGTGTAATGTAACAACATTTTGTTGCCCAGTTACTATTGCTTAAGGCTAGTCTTAAGTTTATTCTTACAACAGTATATGGACTAAATCATCTCAAAATATACAATGAACCTAACATCTATGACAAAAATTATAGGACTATATCAGTCTCCCTTACCTGACAGATTATTGTTCACCAATATCTGGTTCTAATGTTACTTTATGCATAAATATGTGAAAGACAATATTACATGGAAAAATATTCCTGAAGGACAACCATATTAGATTGTTGCAGCAAAAATGTCTCTTAAGGGCTAAACCAAAACAGGAGTTCTGTCGCTTTCTGTCACTCAGTCCACACACCTGCAAGAAGCAGCTAATCATGCATCTCTTTAGAGGACCCTACTACTACTTCTGGTGGACTACTTGAAAAGATATGATTGTGCCTGAACCACATACCTCATTCTCAGCTTTTAAAGGATTTACTGTTTCATACTCATGGAACTTTTTAAAGAAGCAATATTCAGTTATTGGTGTATGCATTCTAAGTTTGCAATTCTGTTTTAGGAAGCCGGGACTAACAGGCAGAGGACTATATGAGTTGAAACTAGAATGTGCTAAAAATTTCAACTTGTATTTTTATCATTTCTCAAGAGCAGAACAATCTAAGGTAACTATGGAAGATAAAGTGATTGATAGTGATGTGACTATAGTGGCTCTCAAGCTTTGTATTCAAGGAATGCTGGGTGTGCTGTGCTACTATTTGACCCTGAAACAACGAATTCTTCATGGATAGTGCTCTTCAGTTAATGTGCTGAAATGGAAGAGTATGTGCATAATAGCAGAATTTAGGGCATTGCTGCGTCAGTGGTTGCATAGCATCATTGTTGAATAAACAGAGAGGAAGTGTGTTCAATCCTAAATGCCACTTAAGATTAAGTTGATGTTTACAACAGTAGAATGCAAGCCAGTGGTATGGCTTCTGTGAAAGAAATGAGGACAGTGTGGGTGTGAGTGAGAACATACAGACAAGAACTGTTGTTGGGTTTTGTTTTTTTTTTTTGCTTTGCTAGTCACGAAGTCGTGTCCGACCCATCGCAACCACATGAACAACATTCCTCCAGGCCTTCCTGTCCTCCACCATCCCCCGGAGTCCACTTAAGCTCACACTGACTGCTTCAGTGACTCCATCTATCCACCTCATTCTCTGCCATCCCCTTCTTCTTTTGCCCTCAATTGTTCCCAGCATTAGCTCTTCTCCAGTGCATCCTTTCTTCTCATTAGGTGGTCAAAGTATTTGAGTTTCATCTTCAGTATTTGGCCTTCTAAAGAGCAGTCAGGGTTGATCTCTAGGACTGACCGGTTTGATCACCTTGCGGTCCAAGGGACTTGCAGGAGTCTCCTCCAGCACCACAATTCAAAGGCCTCAATTCTTTGGCGCTCAGCCTTCCTTATGGTCCAACTTTCACAGCCATACATTACAACTGGGAAAACCATAGCCTTGACTATACGCACTTTTGTTGGCAGGGTGATGTCTCTGCTTTTTAGTGTGCTGTCTAAATTTGCCATAGCTTTCCTCCCAAGGAGCAGGCGTCTTTTAATTCCTTGACTGCAGTCACTGTCTGCAGTGATCTTGGAGCCCAGGAAAATAAAATCTGTCACTGCCTCCATTTCTTCTCCATCTATTTGTCAGGAAGTGATAGGACCGGATGCCATGATCTTAGTTTTCTTAATGTTGAGTTTCAAGCCAACTTTTGCGCTCTCCTCCTTCACCTGCATCAAGAGGCCCTTTAGTTCCTCTTCACTTTCTGCCATTAGAGTGGTATCATCTGCATATCTGAGGTTGTTGATATTTCTCCCAGCAATCTTAATTCCATCTTGTGATTCATCTAGCTCCACCTTTTTCATGATGTGCTCTGCATATAAGTTAAATAGGCAGGGCGACAGTGTACAGCCTTTCAGAACTCCTTTCTCAATTTTGAACCAATCAGTGGTTCCATGTCCAGTTCTCACTGTTGCTTCTTGACCCGCATATAGGTTTCTCAAGAGACAAATAAGATGGTCTGGTTCTCCCATCTCTTTAAGAACTTGCCACAATTTGTTGTGATCCACACAATCAAAGGCTTTAGCATAGTCAATGAAGCAGAAGTAGATGTTTTTCTGGAACTCCCTAGCTTTCTCCATGATTCAACATATGTTGGCAATTTGATCTCTAGTTCCTCTTCCTCTCCGAAATCCTGCCTGTACTTCTGGTAGTTCTCGGTCCACATACTGCTGGAGCCTATCTTGTAGGATTTTGAGCATAACTTTGCTAGCATGTGAAATGAGTGCAGTGGTACGGTAGTTTGAACATTCTTTGGCATTGCCCTTCTTTGAGATTGGAATGTAAACTGACCTTTTCCAATCCTGCAGCCACTGCTGAGTTTTCCAGATTTGCTAGCATATTGAGTGTAGCAGTTTTACTGCATCATCTTTTAGGATTTTGAATAGCTCAGCTGGAATATTGTCACTTCCACTAGCTTTGTTGTTGCTCAGACCTCCTAAGGCCCATTTGACTTCACATTCCAGGATGTCAGTGACCACCTCATCTTGGTTCTCAGGGACATTAAGCTCTTTCTTGTATAGTTCTTCTGTGTAATCTTGCCACCTCTTCTTAATCTCTTCTGCCTCTGTTAGGTCCCTGCCATTTTAGTCCTTTATCATGCCCATCATTGCATGAAAAGTTCCCTTCATATCTCCAATTTTCTTGAAGAGATCTCTGGTCCTCCCTATTCTATTGTTTTCTTCTATTTCTTTGCAATGTTCGTTTAAGAACAGTGCTATTCTCTGGAATTCTGCATTCAGTTGGGTGTATCTTTCTCCCTTGCCTTTCACTTCCCTTCTTTTCTCAGATATTTGTAGAGCTTCCCCAGACAGCCATTTTGCTTTCTTGTATTTCTTTTTCTTTGGCATGGTTTTAGTTGCTATCTCTTGTACAATGTTGCGAACCTCTGTCCATAGTTCTTCTGGCACTCTGTCTGTCGGATCTAATTCTTTAAATCTATTTATTACATCTACTGTATATTCATCAGGAGTATGATTTAGGTCATCTGTTGTATGGAAAGTTCCATTAAGGAGAGTGAACAGTCATCAGTGTCTGGGGGTTTTCAAGATGTTTTGACCCACAACTCCCATCAACCCTATTCAGTATAACCAGTGGTGAGGGCTCATGGGAACTGTAGGTCCGAAATATTTGGAGGGCTACAAGTTGCCCATGTCAGAGTTAGAAGCAGGAATTCTTGGCATTCAGGGAATTGAAACAGAGAGAATGCATTGGGGAACAGTAGCAGATAATAAAATAACAGAAATTGAAAAGCATGGGTGGAGGATGCAGAGGTCTGAAGGAAACGAGGTGGAGGAGTCAAGAAGAAAAGCCTCACTCAGGACATAGGAACAGTTGTGGTGTTCTCAAAAAAAGAGGGTAAACAAATGAGGGAACTTTAATATGCATGTAATTTGCATGGGAAGTTGAATTTTAAATACTGATTTGAGCAAACCTTTAAGATATTTAGCTGTGTGTTTTTGGTTCTGAAAAGAAGTTTTATTTAGTGCTATGCATGAAGAATCTCATTATATCATGGTAAAATGCAAGGAACAGAGCTTATAACATTTAATTGGAATGGGAAAATAAAATATTAAGGTGAGATGGAAAACATAGTACATAGAAGGCTTTAAGAGTTCCTTATTAGCTATCTGACAGTGTCTATACAGTTAGAACACTTTTCTAACTATTTGGAATGTTGATTACTCTCTCTGACTTTTTTAAATAAGGCAGAGGAAGCCCAAAGAAAACGAAGGCAACAAAACCAAGAAGATACAGGTACCTGTCTTGCCTATTTATATTTATATCCCCAGTATTATTGTGCTTAGTTGTTTTTATTAAAGTCTATGAAAGTACACACACTGAAACAGCTATTTTCCAAGGAAAGGCTAGGCTCTAAAGGGGACGTGTTTGCCTTTAAAGAATGTACAAATGGGGTCTTTCTTTGTGGCTTACACTATTACATGCGTATATCTGATGCGGCAAGGTGTTTTCAAAACTCAGCAGCAGCTTGTCTTTGGCATTGGAGCTGCGGCAGCAAAAACCACAAAAGGTCTTTATGCACTTTTTTTTAGTTTAGGCTTGCTCAACTTGTGACTCATGAATACAGCTCAGCATCTGTGTATCAACCCTTCCTGCTCTTTGTCTCCAACCCAAGGCAGATATGCAGTCTGCTACCATTGCATTGCTTGTGAGGACATAAGTATGAAATGGATCTTTTGATTGTCACTGTATGTTTTCATTTTTCTTGGCACACTCCATTAGATGCCTTTACAAACACATCTGCATTCTTGCCAGAAGCTTTCCCATTTGTACATATTCATAATTAAGTAAACCAGAGCCTGTTATTTGCAACAACAAATATAAACTGGTATGCTATAACTTCTGCTTCTTATGACTGATTCCCTTGTTGTGATTTCAGTTATAAAAAGGTACTAGAACAAGACATTCTCATGTTAGTTCCACCAATCCATTTCGAAGCGGAGGCCTAACATGGGAATTTTCTATATAATCTATACCATCCACATGATTTCATTCATCAAAAGTCACTAGAACAGTATAAGATCCAACCTTTGGGATATTAGCAATCAGACTGTTTTTCTGCTATAACAGTAGAACTGAAGCTGCAATCGTATATGTACTTACCTAGCTAGGATTAAGCCCTGTTGAACTCAGTGGAACAGACTTTTGTGTAAATATGTATAGGATTATGCTGTTGAGTAATGGACTTGATTGCTCTGTTGAAAGGCTCCATCCTTTAAGGAGAAGTTCTTAAATATTCCTTATATAGTGGGTTATATCCAATGATGTCCTTCCATTGGAACACACACCACTTATGAATATAATTTCCCTTTCTGCACTAGAGCCCCCCTCATGCACCCCAACTCAATAATTACAGGAAGTGCGCAGGCCTCCAGAGTAGATTCGGGAGGTATGCAGAGGATTACAGAGGGAATGGAGAAGAGAAACTCCTCCTTGTGGGAACAGAAATCACCTCTCTTAATGTTGGATCTAGCCCATTGTGAAGGTTGCTAAACCATGCATACACAATATTTCATTAATGAATTTCTTGTTTCAGCACTCCCACCTCCTGTTCTACCTCCATTCTGCCCTTTGTTTGAAAGCCTGATCAATATTCTTCAGAGTGATGTTATGTTGTGCATTATGAGGACGATACTGCAGTGGGCAGTAGAGCATAACGGCTATGCCTGGTCAGAGTCCATGCTGCAAAGGGTGCGTTTAAGTCCTAAACTCCAGATGTTGCTAATTCACAAATGAATGCTAGTGGACAATACAGACCACTTTTTAAATATGTAAACTCTGACCGCAGTAACTCTTGCTTAGGTTTTGCACTTAATTGGAATGGCACTACAAGAAGAAAAACAACACATTGAGAATGCTAATGAAGATAATGTGGTGACTTTTACCTTCAGTCAGAAGATCTCAAGTAGGTTGCTACTTATACAAATATTCCAAACTTTTATTTTAACAAAATATAGTAAGATCATTATAGAGTTCCTCAATTTTCTGCTCTTTTAAAAAATTGCTTTTAAATTTTTTTTCTTATACCACCTTGAACTTTAACACTGCAGTCTTTTAAAAATTATATTTTAAAGTTGCTACTTCATTAGAGCAAAAGTGAACTATAAGTACAATCGACAGCTTTGTGGCTGAAGTGTTAACTTTTGTGTTGACATGTGCATCCATTAGCTTTTTAAAAGTGCTCTGCTGCTAATTAGGTGGCAAAGAAAATTTACAGGCTAGCATTTAAAAGAGACACAACAATAAATTGTATATAGTATCTTCTTATACAAATAACATTTTTATGCTTGAAGGCTGTTTCACGTACTTGTTTAAAAATACATGTAATGCATTTTAATTATGCTTGTGAGAAATATGGTTAGTAGTATGTGATTATGACACATACCCAGAGATGGCCTGCGGCTTCCTGTGGAAAATGTAAATTCCCTGTGCATAAGACTTGGTGTGATCTTTGGTTCTTCTCTTCTAATGTTCATTAAAATTGATGACATCTTTTGCAATTGAGAGAGATAAATAAAGATGAGTTAATGACTTAATGGGGATCCATTTGTTCAAAAGTGGCATATTCTTGCTGCAGTGCTTTTGAAGAACTATCTCACATTCCTAGCACAGGAGTGGTCTTTATAAAAAACATGTATCATAAAAATAAGTATTCTTCAGATCATAGTTCTTCTATACTGAATTTTAGCTAGCAAAACAAATTCAAAGAAATGCATCAGATGCATATACCGAGTTCTTTCCTTGTTCTTCTTTAGGACCTGGTGAGGCACCTGGCAATTCCCCAAGCATTTTAGCTATGCTAGAAACTTTGCAGAATGCACCCCATCTGGAAGTGCACAAGGATATGATCAGATGGATATTAAAGGTACATTGTGCTGCAGTATTTGCACATCTTTATGGCTGATAAATAATATTTTACTGTATTTAAATAATGATCAATCATGTAATTTTCCTGTTGCAGGCTTTTAATGCAGTCAAGAAGCTAAGAGAAAGATCTTCTACAAGTCCTGTATCAGAAACTGAGGGAAATATTATGGAAGAGGTAAGTCTAATGAAATGGAAAAACTGGTGATGTGGTGATAGGTATTTGTACTGTTGACCACAATAAAAAACATACCTGATCTGGTAGATTCTAGTCTACTGAGTAGGACCTTTTCTTTATTACCATATTAAACATGGGACAGAGGGTTGTGGAATGTGTTTAGGATGTGTGTCAAAGTACTTTATTTTACAGTATTTTAAAGCTTTAACTGAGAAGGGTGTTGATATTAGCTAAGGTAGAAAATGAAGAATGCAAGTAATGGTGTGCAGTAGAAAGTTTAGCTATGAACTAAGATTCTTTAGGCTCTGCTTATTATGGGAAAATTATTTTGCTGGGTCTAACAATGTACTTGGTATATTCTTTACAGATGTACAGTTTCTAGTAGCTTTGATTTTTATTTGTATCAAACATTTCTACCTAGAAAAATGGAACTCAGGGCAGCTCGCAATCACAAGTAAAACTTGGTTCAACAATAATAAAACAAATGCATTAAAACAGTTAAAATCAGAACAACAACAAACAAACAAAAATCAAGAGAATGAAAACTGCACCGAACCCAACAAACCCACTTAAATGCCAAAGGTCTGCTTGACCAAAAAGTTTATTTGCCTGCTGGAGGAAGGACAGCAGGGAGAAGGCAAGCCATCCATCAAAGGACTGGAGCCAACAGTGCCTCCCAGATCTGTCTCAGATGCCCCTGACAGATACCATGATTGATGATATCAGTCTGCTGAGAAGTCCAACAGAACCAACAGGGACATACTTTGTCCGGTTCCTGCTGTAGATCATCCACCATGATGATGACTAAAATAGTCTGTTCCATAACCAAGCTTGAAAGCAGATTGGAATGGATCCAGATAATCTACTTTATTCAGAAATCTCTGGAACTGAGGAGTCACCACACATTTCACCAACTTGCCCAGAAAAGGAATATCAAAGTCCTTCCAGAAGTTATCAGTATGGTGGGGTTCTGGGAGTGTTTTAAAAGAAGCCACTGCCCCTTTTAGGCAAGGTGGAAGCACTCCTTGCCTTAAAGAAGCATTCATTGCTGTCCTTACACATTCAGCCAGTCTTGTCCCCTGGGTGTGGTAAGCATCATTTCTGCAAGCATTCTGTCCTCAGCCCTGAACTGTAGAAATGGAAAAGCATTCATTGTAACTGGATAAACAGTGGGCAAAGTTACATTCACTGGGCCTGTACTCAACTATGGTATCTAAGTTGGAACAGATACTGCACTCTTAACCACTACACCACATTGACTTATTTTGTTTGTTTGGCTTATTTTCTCTGTTTCAGTTACACAATTAATGCTATTTAATACATACACAAATTATGTAATTGAAATGGACTGAAGACCTAGATTATGATTAGCTACTTACATTTGCTAACTTGTTAACTTTGTAGTGCTCACGAGATAAAGAAAAGGCTGAGAGAAAGAGAAAAGCTGAAATTGCCAGGCTGCGAAGAGAAAAGATCATGGCACAGATGTCTGAGATGCAGCGAAACTTCATTGATGAAAACAAAGAACTCTTCCAGCAAACTTTAGATGAACTTGAAACTTCATCCTCCAGAGTGCATGATAATAGGTAAGATGGCACTGATAGGAAGCTTTGAAAAGCTAGCAGCTCTTTTAATTTTTAACAGTAAATCCTCATTTTGACATAGGAACATAGAAACAGAGCGAGTCAGAAGGGGCTTCCCGGGCCATCTAGTCTGACCCCCGGCTCCAGCCAGCTCCACTCACGACATGCACACCATGTGCATGTCCTGCCTATCTTTGAACCACCTCTCGTGGAAGCCCATTCCACACCCTCGGGGTCCTAACTGTCAGGAAGTGCTTCCTGGCATCCAAATGGAACCTTGGCTCCCTGAGCTTTGCTCCGTTGGAGCACGTGCTGCCTTCCTCTGCAGGGGAGAACAGGTCTCTACCCACCTCCGTGTGACATCCCCTCACATACCTGTATGTTGCCAACAGATCCCCTCCAAGTCTTCTCCAGGCTGAAGTGACCCAGTTCCCTCAGTCTCGCCTCATACGGCATCCCCTGCCACATCTTCCCGTGGCATTCCTCACTAACTCTTGTCTTGCTAATTTCTTACACTTTGATACTAAAGGTATCTGAATGGAAGGGCTGTATCTGTTCACAGACAGACTTTGAATGCAACAGACAATCCTGCTGACAGAAAGCAATGAATCCGTTTCCATCACTTTGCCCCCTTTCTGTTGACCTGTACACACTTTTCCAGTGGGATCCTCAAACCTCTGGTGCAGACTTTGGAGAGACATAGTAAAGAGAGGGAACTTGGAAAAAATTTGTTCCCCTGTACCCATTGCACAGGCAGGATCATCCTACAAGCCTGCTGGCAGAAGGGTATTCAGGGAGTAAGCCTTAATGTTTTTCTTGGCTGAATTGATTATCACTTCTACCTATTCTTTTTACTATCCACTGCTGATGCCGCATCATTTTACATAAGATCATAAGAATATTAATTAGTACTACATTAGCTAATCATAAGATTACAAAAGGAAAAACAACAGCTAGTAGCCATAACTCTCAAGAGAAGACCCAGCAAAGAACTTACTTGCTGTCTAAATTATGGTGTCAAACAAAATTCTGAGATAACTGTTTCTACTTATTTCCAGTTTTTTATTTGAAAAATTAAACTCCTATCTAGTAATTAATGTTATATGTATCTGCAATTTTAAAACTAGAATTAAGAGATAGGTAGAAGCAAAAGGATACTTTCATAGTAGATGGGTGAGTGGGACATGCTTTACTAAGGTAATTTCTGCAGCTTGCTTTTAAGAAGAGTAGTGGCAGCATTCATTTTAGAAAAGTTCGATTTGCATTGCCCACTTGGGGGATAGGTGTTTTTTGCATATACAAAGGATTGTATCCAGCTGGGTCCTTCTACCAGTGGAATACACACTGCTGATGCATCAGTTGCCACTTCCTCACCCTACCCACTGCAGCTCCTAGCATATTTCCTAAAACTGTTTCAGAGAGCAGGGGAGCCAGTGGCGCATATACACATGAGGGGGGGTGGCGAGTCAGAAGTGGCCTTCCAGGCCATCTAGTCTGACCCTCGTCTCCAGCTGGCTCCACTGATGTAATTCCAACATGAAATCTGACATGAGTGCAGGCGTATTCATTGTGGAGAAAGCAAAGACAGTTCCTTCTACATGTCACAGTCCACTTGTGTAGCATTTAAGATTTAGCCCAGACTTCTCTTTGGACTATTCTCATCATGAATTGTTCCTGGTGAGAATAGCCCTTAATGGATCATATGCCGAGCTCTGATAGGTCTCTGTGCTGTCATAAAATGCTTAAGATCAATCACAATTGCACTCCTTTTGTAGTCTGCTCTTTTATATTGATACCCATCTTATCATAATGGCTTCTGAAAAATTAAAATCAGCCAAAAGGTTGCATTAAACTTTGCAGAGTGTGTGTTAGGCTCAGTACCTTTCTGATAGTTTCTAAGAGGTTAGTCTCCAGTATTCCCACCGTTATTTCAACCAAAAGAAAGTTGCATGTCCTTGAATTTACTTTGGGCTCTGAAATAACTGCAATATAATTTTGGCTGATCTAAACCTCCTTTAGAGTGTGAATTTTAACTAGGGCTACTGTGTAGTACTGTACAGAGTTTTTCCAATTTCTTCTAGAAGTGTACATACAGCATAGGCTTGATTGTTAGGAAAACAAATGTTTTGAGTTCACAACTGTATACAAAGAACTAAACTGTTGTTTTACTTTGGTAAACATTACAGTGAAAAACTGACTAATACACTTTGATTCTAGTCCTTCAGTTTCAGATACCAAGCTTATAGCCTTGGGTCCTGAGCAGACTAAAGTGACCGAGCAAAGGAAAGTGGTTACATGTATCTTATGCCAAGAAGAGCAGGAGGTTAAGATGGACAACACAGCCATGGTCCTGGCAGCATTTGTTCAGAGATCAACAGTCCTGTCTAAAAATAGAAATAAAGTGATTCCAGATCCTGGTAAGTAGAGGTAATGTTGTAATACTGCATATGCGTGTTTGTTTTTGTGTCAATTTCAGCCGATTGTCCATATTTCAAATGCACAAGACTCTGTGCCAAAATAACAACTTGGAAGATTCTATTCACGGTATAATCAACCTGACACCATTCAAAGTATCCTGTTGCTAGCTTAGTGCCACGAACTGTAGACAAGCAGGAATTTCCCATTACTGGGCTAGCTATGGTCTAGCTTGGGAAGTAGGTTTTAATAAACCTTAATCTAAAATATTTTTTGCAACCCACAGTGGGTTAACACTTCCTGTGTTGCCCAGGAAGGAGGATTCATGGGAATCCTTTAGATTTTTGCCTCTAGGCCTGCTAGACTTTGCCTACTTCTTTTTCCTTTCCTTTGCCTGAGACCAAGGTCTGCTAGACACCCCTCCTCTGGTCATCTTTTCTTCTATTTCCTTTTTAAAAATAATTATTTAATCTGACTGAAATGCAAATTTGTATATAATTAACTTTAATGTAAAATTTTAAATGTAAATTTGTATATAATTTTTAGTAAGCTTTGTGACTGACTATTGCCTTTTTCATGTTTTTGCATGCAGAAAAATATGATCCATTGTTCATGCATCCAGACTTGTCATGTGGAACGCACACAGGTAGCTGTGGACATATTATGCATGCCCACTGCTGGCAAAGGTAATTTTTAAGAATATTAACAGGTCATACATCTAATCCTTAATATTGCACTTGTATATTGAACATGTACCCTTGGCCAAGCAGAAATGCCTGGCCATTTAAAATTTCTTATATGCCATCTGATTATTATAAAATCTCAAGGCAGTTTACCTAAAAAGTCAAAAATATATATTAAAACCATATTATAAATATGGTAAAATAGTTAAGAACTCCTTGGTGCCCACATTTGCTTCGATACTTGAAATACATTATTGATTAAAAAACTGGGAGAATAAAACGGTTTTGGTCTGGTGCTAAAACAAGTAAAGCAGGTTCCATAATCAGGGCACTATCGCAGAGAAGGCCCTCCTCTTCGTGACTATCCTCCTTGCTTCTCTCAAGGAGGGCTCTCAGAGGAGGCCTCTGCAGTGGATCTTATCTCGGCAGGCTCATATGGAAGGAGAGATTCCCTTAGATAACAAGGCCCTAATGTTCAGGGCTTTAGATGTTATTGTCAATACCTTTAATCAGGCCCAGACTTCAGTTGGTAGCCAGTGTAGCTCAGATAGGACCAGTGTGATGCATTCTCTTCCACCAGTCCCTGTCAGCACTCTGGCAGCTCTATTGTGAACCAATTGCAATGTCTGGATTGTCTTTGAGGGCAGCCCCACGTAGAGCACATTGCAATAGTCCGGTTGCATGAGTGAGCAGTCCCTGAGTTACTGTTACTAGGACCTGTCCGTCCAGGTAAGGGTGCAGTTGATATATTAGCCTCAGCTGAAGGAAAGCACTCTTTGCCACAGATGCAACCTGGAATTCCAGGGATAGCTCAGGGTCAGGGAGTACTCTCAAGCTGCATACCCTATCCCATAGAGGGAATGCAACCCTTTCCAATACAGTGCCTGAACCCTTACCTGAACAGCTGGCCCACCCACCAGCAATCTGGATTGAACCTCAATTTATTGGCCCTCATCCAGCCCATCATACTGTCCAGGCACCTGTTTAGAGCAGTTATTGCCTCACATGGAGAGCCAGTGTGGTGTAGTGGTTAAAAGCATGGGGTTGGGACTCAGACGATCTGGGTTCGAGTCCCCACTCGGCCATGGAGCCAACTGGGTGACTTTGGGCCAGTCACAGACTCTCAGCCCAACCTACCTCACAGGGTTGTTGTTGTGGGGATAAGATGGAGGAGGAGAATGATGTAAGCTGCCTTGAGCCCTTTGTAGGAAAAAGGCAGGATATAAATTGAATGAATAAATAAATAAATATAAATGAGAGGTAGCTGGGTATCAGCATCATACTGATGACTCCTCAGCCCAGACCTTTCCCACTGGTTCATGTAGCTATTGAACAGCATAAAGGATAAAATGGAACCCTGTGAAACTCCATGGCATAATTTTTCCCTAAATTAATTCCTTCAGGAACACATTGCACAGACTGTATTTATATTGAGGTGATGGTCAATAAAATTGCAGCCTATTTCCTTAGATTAATGTTCTCTCCTCAAGCACACCTTGGCCATATTCTCATGTTATGGTATGCTATCCTGCCGGTGCTAGTAAGCTTTTAAGAAATGAGCAGATCTTTCACATTATGTTGATGAAAGCAGCAATTGTACTTGTTTTACAAAATTGTACTTGTACTTGTTTTACAAAATTCATTTTAATATCTTATGTTGCTTTCTAAAGATACTTCGATGCTGTGCAAGCAAAAGAGCAAAGACGACAGCAAAGATTACGAGTACACACAAGCTATGATGTAGAAAATGGCGAATTTCTTTGTCCACTTTGTGAATGTTTAAGTAACACTATCATTCCTTTGCTTCCTCCTCCAAGGAGTTTATTTAACAGGTCAGTCACTCTTTGTAAGCACCTCTGTTAGTAGGATGAAAGTAGAACTTCTTGTTTGACCATTCAGTTTGAATAATATAAGGAGGTGAAGTTGAACAAATGTGATGTTTTCTGGTAAATAGTTGCAGGGTTCAGTGCTTTGTGTACTTTGAACTATATTCTCATTTTTGGAAACTTGATTATTCAGCCAATAGACTGCAGAACTGAGGAGTCTAAGCATTACAATCATTTCTGGAATGTCAAATGCAGATTTTATTGAGGCTTCAAAACAAACTTCTATCATGGCTGCCTGTTTAGTGCATTGAAAAAGCATGGAAGAACAGGACAAATAAATATGAAGAAGATAATTTTGAAAACATTAAATCCATAATAGAAAATGCATTTGGAAATCAGAGATGGAGAATATAAGTGTACAGTGTTCCTGCTAGCAGGAAGAATCTCTGAAACCAATCACTGAAACCATTGTGTATAAATGCATGTTAAATTGTATATATTATATTTAAAAGAAGTCTTTCTTTTTGTCATATAATCAATATTACATTGTACTTTTGAATTTTGTCACAATTCATTGGGATAACTCTAGCAGTTCTAAAATACAGTAAGTTCCTCATATCTAAGAGGTTTCTGTATTTTTTAAAATTCTTGTTCAATTTGCCCTAGAAAATGCAACAAATGACTAACACACCAAAGTCACACGTGGCCAATCTTAGCATTGATAGGTAAACACCAGTAATCATCTGCTTAAAAGGTCAGAGAGCTGCATTAAGAGATTTGCTGTGCCAGAGTAGAATCTGCCACATTCAAACTATGTCATGGGGATTAGGGGTTTTCTTCTCTTGAATGCTAGATTATACATTGTGCCCACAGGAAATCTCAGTACTGTTTACAGAAGTTGAGACTAAGTCTCTAAAGGAAAGGGCTCGTTACTTAAACAGTACATGTGTGGCTACTAATGCTTTAGATTTTTCCTGTCTCCAGAGCTGATTCAAGATGTTTAAAAACTGTTTGGTTGTTGGGTCAGGAATGGGGAGGAGCGTAAGATACTTACACATGTTGTTAGGAATAATATTTTATTGTTACATTATATATATATATATATATATATATATATATAGAGAGAGAGAGAGAGAGAGAGAGAGAGAGAGAGAGAGAGAGAGAGAATTATATATAGCCCCAATTTCACGTCTTGCTGCTGATCATGTTGCTAATATAATGCAGCTAGTTTTTAATATTTCATCTCTGTGTCACACTTCTGTAAGGTCACTAAGAAAAAGAAGAAATCTGGGAAGGGAAGGGCCCCACCCAAAAGTACATAATCTTGCTACCCCAAAGCCAATTTCACAATTGGTGAGGGAGCCACTCTGCTGGAAAACTCTCTGCAGATAAAATTGCTGTATAAGGATGGACCACCAATGCACTTGGAAAGCTCACCTAGTAATTTTGTGGGTCGCAGTTCTCCCTTTGTAACTGTGATTGGGAGCAATTCAGAGGGGAGTAAAGGAAAAGAGGCAACAGCAGCTATGGCATTTACCCAGGTTGGAAAGGAGAAGGTGAACAAGCTGGATGAGAGAGGGAAGGTGACAGAGTCAGTAGGGAGCAGCAAATCGCAAACAGGAGAAATTTGTTTCTTGCTTGTGGGCTTCCAGAAGAAACTAGCTGGTTACTGATAGAAATGAAATTCTGCACTAGAGAAAAGTGATGAAGCTAATAATACTTGGCATTTATGTAATATTTTCAAGAGTTCAAAACAATTTTCATACATTATTCTGCTTTAATCATTTACCCCTTTTAAGGTTGATTGGTGTTATTGCACAAAGCAGGGCTTGGGCAGCTGAGGCTCAGGGTTGCTTGCTGAAGCGTGCAATCCTGTGCATGTTTAGACAGAAAAAAGACATGCAACTCCAGCATTCCCTGGTGAACATAGCATAGCTGGGACTTTTTTCTGTCTAAATATGCAATTTTGAATTCCATACAAAGTCACCCTATATGCAGTCAAGATTGGAACGAGGGATTCCCTGATTTGCAGCTCAGTATCAAGCTGTTATGCTACACCAGCTCTCATGGGACCTTTGGACAGATGCAGCAGAGCCCTTTCCATATGCTTTCAAGTTAGTATGAATCTATAGCAGGCTTCATGCATGTACTTCACTTTTGCATAGGAATGTGAAATTAATGCCCTGCATACTGGAATAGATTAGGGACAGGGAAGGGGTTAATTCCAAGTTTGTTTTCAGAGGTATTGCAATGATTCCAAAACAGCATTATTATTTAAGAGGATTTGTGTAACTGCCTTATGTTTACTGTAAAAAGTATGTAAATGTTTTTTATTTGTAAAAAAGAGAACTATGTTTATCTGGACACAGATATATATGTATGTATGTATGTTCATTCTTGACAGGTTAGATTTTTCAACTCAACAAAATCTAGCTCAGTGGATAAGAACAGTATCTCAGCAAATCAAAGCATTGCATATGCTTCAAAACCAGGAAACCATGAGTAAGTCTGAAATCTCACATTTGTATGGTCGCTCTTCTCAGGAGGGGAGGTGGTTTGTTTCATTGTGCTTTAGGTTTCCTTTTGAGATCACTCTGTAGGCTAGATGTCTGTCCTTTGTTTGCAAACAGACAAGATCATGAGCAGTAACAGTAAAATGATTAAAAGGATATTTGTTTTGCAGCTTATTCAGGTATCTCCTGTTGTAGGAAGTCAGAAAAAATGGATGAACTACAGCTACCTGAAGGTTTTAGACCAGAGTTCCAACCAAAGTATGTATTGCTGTTATTAATTACTGATTAACTCCATATGGTGGTATAACCAATTTACATGGAGTTTGGGACATTTATTGGGACCTTCAATCAAGGCTGTTAGTTTATTCAGCTAGGACTGTACAAGTATTATAGTGTAGGCCAGATGGTCATAACAAATGTGTATATTTTGTCATATGCAATTATCATATGAATATAGTATTCATAAACTTTAGAGCACACTTGGCTGTGCTGAATGTCTTGGCCCATGAAGTCTCTTGGTTTGCCTTCGTTTTATAAGCAACTGTAAGACATTATACTGTGTGCACAGAGAGAGACTCAGTTCAGAATTCTACTTTAAACTAGCATTTCCCTGCCCTGGTGCTCACATATTTGGAGGCAAAACTGAGATACAATACAATATTTAGAAGCACTGCAACTATGTAAGCCTAAAGGCTTTGGCAGAAAAGTTCAGAAGTTAGTGTATACACACAAAGCCCAACCTGGTGAGGAGTGATTAAATTGTAGTTATTAAGGTATCTTGGTTTACAACCTCCTATGATTCCTCACAACAGATTATTCTGGCTACAGTTGATAGGGATTGTAGGCCAGAACATCTGGAGAGACCTTACTGCCCACCCCAAAGTATAACAGTATCACCAAATCAATGGATATTTTACTATTTTTCATTTTTGCAGCCCTTACAAAAGTGAATATGATGATTAGCAGATGATTTAAAAAGTACCTTTTAAAATATTTGCAAACCATGATAAATGAAGGCATTGGATAAAAGGCTATAATTAGGCCACACTGGGATAAATTCTATGGCTAGTATGCTTGTTCTGTTAGGCAAGGAAATTATGAAGCTTCTGCTCAGTGTTTAGTTTCTAATAAATCATGAGTTAAACCTTGTAGAATCTAGAGTGTCGATAACAGTATCTTCTCTTATCGTAGGAATCTATATTCTGAAAGCATTAAAGAAATGCTGAAAACATTTGGCACTGCAACATACAAAGTAGGTCTGAAGGTTCATCCGAATGAAGAAGATCCACGTGTACCAGTAATGTGCTGGGACACTTGTGCATACACAATACAAACAATAGGTAATGAAGTTACAGTTCATTACAATATTGGTACTCAAGATACCAGTTGAACTGTTCTCTTCTTACACTTGTCATTATTTTTTGCCTTCCACAGAACGACTTTTGGCAGATGAAGAGAAACCATTATTTGGTCACTTATCTTGTAGACAGGTATGATGCAACAACATAGTCTGAATTTCTGTGGGACAGTCTTACAGTATTCAGCTATTTGGAAAGAATGGTTATATAAACAGCAAGTTGTGATGGTGAACATTATGCCACCATTTCCTATGTGTTCATATGAGAGGCCCTTACATGATGTAGTAATGGCTAAGAATTGTTCGCGGGGTTTAGATCTGTTAAAATGTAATGAAGAAATGAGGCTTGGGTTGGTTCTTTAGTCCATTTCTTTACGTGTATGTAACTTTGTTCTGTTTTAGGATGATTGCCTTACTTCGTTAACTAGATTTGCAGCTGCACACTGGACAGTTTCTTCACTTTCAGCAGTACAGGGTCACTTTTGTATGCTTTTATCATGTAAGTTCAAGATCATGGCAATTCTTATTTAAAGAATTCGGAGGGAGAGACCAAGATACAAGTGTAAAAAGTTTTTGCACCCCTAAATAAGTTTTTGGATCTCTGCTCAAGCTTTACCCAGTAAAGTGTTGCAGGCACAAAAACAAATGTGTGCATGAAACTTCATGCTTACAAGTTTTGTCCGTCCATCTCACGGGAACGTATGATGCTCTGGCAGTACTGTGCATATGCGAGATTGGCTTAGAGCTTTAGTTGAGGTTAACATCTTGAACTCAGGGCAAAACATATCTTAGTTGAGCATATGATAATAATTATTACCATATTTGCCCTGGAGAATAAGAACTAATCATAGGTTGTTGCTTCAGTGAGATTATAACCATATCATTTGAGAAAATCGCATGGAAAGGGCCCACTTCAGACATAAATTCTCTGGGGTTGATGATTGGACTTTGGGAACAAAGTAGTTACTGGACTTCCAAATTACAGTGCAGATAAAACAGGTTTTTGGCATTAGTTCTACTGAAGTTTGAGAACTGGGCCTTAAATACGGAAGAGGACAACCTCTTCTGCCACCTCCAGCACACCAAGCTTGATATTCTTACAATAAGAAAAGATGAGAAATCAGCCTCTCTAGCAAAATCCAAATTGTATATTCAGTGTACTAAAGGAAAGTGGGATCGCACAAGCTGATAGTTGGCTTTCAGTGCCTGAGACTCTTTTTTTAGGACAATGTCCTTGTTGAATTCCCACTGTGGTGCTTGTAAGCACTTTCACGGTACTTGCCAAATTCCTTGTCTCTCCTGACTTTTTGTTTGTTTAGATTTTTTAAAAATTAAGAATGTGTTTAACTGATAGGCTGGCATGCTTCATGGCTTAGTTCCAGCCTACAACACCATCTTGAATAATTCTGGGCCCCATAAGGGATCCAAGGCATTCTTAGACAATAAAAGCAGTCGAAAGCTACAGCTCAGCCCTTGTGAGACACATCCAACTGCTCAGAAAAGGAAAGTACAAGCTGGAGGTGGTAGAGAGTCTCTGCAGAGTTACAGGGGGAGAGGGGCATGGGGCCAAGGGTTGCCTGTTTTCAATGGGTGTTTTAACTGGCTTTTTTCCCTGTGGGATGTGTATCTGTGTAACTTTGTTTGCTTGTTTTCACAGGTGTGTTTTGCTTGCATTTGGGGGCATTTGTGTGATGTGTTTGTGTGTGTGTGTTTTGCTTGGGTTGATTTCATTTCATGTGGCTGTGTGTTTTGCTTCTGGGTCTGTCAGATTTGTGTCTGTGCCTCTCTGCTTTACTTCTGTGAAATGGGCATTTTGTTGTTCTATGTGAGGGCAAATACATAATATGGCATTTGGGACTCAGATACTACCTTTTCCTTGTACTCAATTTCTCAGCCAAATCCCTTCTGTCTGAGACTCATCAAAGAGATTGGTGTTGGGAGAAAACTATGGGTTCAAAAGAGTAGTTTTATGTTTTCAAGCTCAAATCCTGCTTTTATCCTCTGGAAAATGGGAACATCCACAACACATTCTCAGATTTGCTTATCTGTGTACTATTCTGAAAATGTTAGGGACCCCTCTTCTATCTGTATTAAACCTGATTGATTAATTGAACATGGGGAACCTGTAACTATTTTTGACCTATTACATCAGGAATATACTTCATATGGCCTGTGGACTGAATCTGCAGTTGTCCTAGCCACTTTTCCTTTCAGCCCAGTTAATTGGACTGTTGTTCTGATATTGCTGTAAGCAAATCCCAAAAGAACTAGGAATTACTGGGTGAATGAGGAGACTTTGGTCATCTTTTCCTCTCAGCAATCCTAAGACTCAAAATCCTTCTTCTGAGATTTCCTGGAAATGGTGATTACTTGAAATCTGAATGAGAATTCTCAGTAAACTCACAGAGTAGTAATTCCCAGAGTACCTGTGAAAAAACCATGATGAAAATGAACACATGATGGTATTTTAAACTGATGTTGTTTTAAACTCAGGACAGTGGTTCTGACAGCCCAGTGCTAGGTACTGTGACTGGCAGCAGCTTTCTCAAGCTTTCAGGCTAGAGTCTTTCCTGGTCTAACTAGTGGACAACCTTTCAACTAGAAGTGCTAGCTACTGAAACAGGGAACCTCCTGGGGCAAAGTATTATGCGATACTACTTTAATCTCTTGAACCAGTCTTATTTTCACAGTAACGGTGGTCATGCTAATTACAGTAATTGTGCTCCACATTTAGAGACCTCCCCCCACCAGTACTGAACCACTTCAGATAATCATGCTATTCTGAAGCTCAAGTTGCTTTAAGACTTTGACAAACTACCTGATTGGTCATTTTCAGAAGTTAAATGTAAATCTTAATGTTTCATCATCAATAACCATTTTGTGTTTTAAATATCTAGCACTGGTGCCTAATGAAAAAAATTGGAATCTTCCCAGTATTCTTGATATCGACATGTTTCACTTACTGGTAAGCACCCTATAAATTCCAGGAGACCCACTCTGTCTTATATTGTATATCACTTTTAAGAAGTAAGTGTGACATGGCTTGAGGCTGCTATTCCTGTTGGAGCATCTCACCCAACCAAAAGCTTCCTGGGCATTATGCTCAGCATCTGAGGCCTTCCTCTCTGACCCACCTTGCAGGAATGCTTGGTTGATGACAACAAGGAAGAAGGCCTTCTCATTGATGGCCACTTGATTATGGCAAACACTCCCCACTGAGGCCTGCCTGGTACCAACTCTGTCATTCTTCTGGTGTCTGGTTAAGAATGGTCTCTATGCCAAAGTTTTTAGTTTTAGTGGCATTCAGGTTGGCCCATGTTTACAATCATCTCACTTATTGAATGTATCAAATATGTTTAACTTCTCAAATGGTTTTAAAATTCCTTTTTTAAATGAAGTTATGCTGCTTTTGTTATGTGTGTACAGTTTTATTATTTTTATGTGTTGCTGTTAACCACCCAGATATTTTTGGCTGTTAGGCAGTATATTGATAAAAATAATGCTGTTGCTGGTGGTTATACTGTTGATGGAGGGTTTCTTGCTTTTAGTGAAATAGTGCAGCTTACAGCATTCTCAATCAGTGTTGACTGTGTTGTCCACAAATGCTGGAAGTTGGAGTCTGATGCACCTGGAGTGTACCCATTTGGGGAAAATAGAAAAAGTGGGGTGTGTGTGTATTCAAAGTTGGTCTTACTTTATGCAAGTCTTCTGGGGAGGGTTGTCTTGCAGCATTTGGACAAATGAGGCTGGTGAAAAGTTATTTTTTTCTTATGCATTTTATTTACAGGTATGCTTGGTACTTTCTTTCCCTGCCATACACTGTCAGGACTTTTCAGGAGTAAGCCTTGGTACTGGCGATATTCATATCTTCCATCTTGTCACTATGGCACATATTGTACAAATAATACTTACCTCATCCACAGGTAATGTAGTTTGTCAAAGTTACTTTAACTTGTGAGTACAGGGAAACTAAGAAGAAAAAGGGACTATTCTGGGTATAATCAGAACTGCGCATTTGAAATGTTTTGTGGTTTTTGTTTAAAAAAAAACTAAAGTATTTTTAAAGAGACTTCATTTTAATCATACAAAATTAAATTAAGGTATTTAATGTAAGTGCTCACCCAGTACATGTATAAATATCCTTCAAAACAAAAAAAATCAGATTGGGAATGTGGATTAACATTATCTTTAAATGTACAATTCCAAAACTTAAAAAATACACTCCATCTTTCACTATTAATGCCATCATTATTGCCACATCCCAGACCCTAGAAGAAAAATCAGACAGAATACCCTTTTTCCAAACCTGAGATTTTAGTTCTTCTCAAAAGATTAAGATGTAAAAAAAAAAACGAATTGAACTTCTTTAAACCAAAAAATGCTTTTGATTAGAGCAATCTAAGGAAATGGTATGTGAATCCTCTAATTTTATTACCTTTCCTTGGACCTGCAGTTTTTAACATTTTTTTAACATTTTGTATTGTTAAACTGGACTGAGACTTTGGTAATGGGACGGTCTACAGAAATTATGAATGAATGAATGAATGAACGAATCATGCACAGATCTTGAAAATGGCTACTGAAACTGATTTTTTAAATTCTAGAGTTAAAATGCATGCAAACTAAAAATTCTACAATAGTATTTAACAGTCTGTTTTAAGAGTACTTCTGCATAGCAAGTACTTGGTGAAGTAAAAGTTCTTTGGGTGAAGCTTTATTTGGGAGACTTACAGTCAAGTCTATGAATTGCATAAACAAGAAAAATAAACTTTATGAGCTAAGACTGTTTTGCATGTTTACCTTTAGTGTATTGCAGCCTGCTTCCGTGTGCAGCTTTTTGTACACAGAAACAGAAGTGTCTGAGGAAGATGATTAACAGAATGAAATTTAAGACCTGAGGCCAGTACACATGGGATAGAGTGGGTACTAGAGGAGGATTAGATATATAACTGGTTAAAATCAGAAGCTCTGGATAACACATAATTTATGTCTGCTTTGTAAAACCAAAGGCAATGGACCACATTCTTAGTATAGGTTAGCGCACTATTAACTTCCTCTAGTTTTTTTCTTCAACACCTATTTGATTCACTTAGGTTTAGAATTTGTGTTTTCTTTTTCAGAAGAAAATGGCATGGACCAAGAAAACCCTACTGGTGAAGAAGAAGCAGTCCTTGCTTTACATAAATATCTTGGCCAGTATGCAGGAAGGTAAAATGAAAGCATCTGGTCTAACTTTTCTACCCTTTGTTCTGCTTCACTTGCCTTCTGTAAACTGCTTTTTAACATTCCAAGGCAGGGCCAGTTAGGGTAGACTCTTAGCTTGTCTTGCTCCAAGCTGGTCTCCTGTCACTGGTTGGTACACTTTCAAGTATGCTGGCTCCAATATTTCATACGCAATTCCAAAAGCCCTTTCAATTATACCTAAAAACACACTTGAAAAAACTGTATGGCTTAAGTAACAAGAGCTATATAATAATCTGGCTTCTCTGTTCTGGATCTGCCAATGCTTTCAAACTTCTTCAAAAGGCAGGCCTATTTAGAGGACATAATGGTTATCCAGTCTAGAAATTACCATGCTTTTCTGTGTATAAGACAATACTTTTTCTTAATAATATTTACCTAAAAATGGAGGGGCGTCTTATACATGAGGGGCCGAGAGGAGAACCGCGCGTGTGTGTGTGTGGGGAGACTGGTGAGATCACAGGCGCAATCAGGAAGACTAAATGGATGTGGGCACGATCGGGGGGGAGGTGGGCGCGGGTACAATTGCGGGGAGACTGGTGTGGGCACCTGGGGATGCAGCATGTGGGCGTGCGCGGAAGCAGCAGCTTGCTCACTTAGAGATTGGTAGGAAAAGTGGGGGGCATCCTATACATGGGGACGTCTTATAGCTGGAAAAATACAGTACCGTGGCAAGTATCTTGGTGTCATAGTATCTTGATAACACAGTTGGTGAGCCAAGAAAACGGGCAAAAAGCAGTCGCAGACAGAGGTACCTCCTGAGAATCAAGGACTAGAACTGGGCTCAGGAAAATCTCCAACTGAATTTGCTTCACATCAACAGGCAATTCCTGACACCAAATAGCTGTTTTAATAGTAGCTGTATAGCAATTTGCAATGTAAAATTACTGTATAATTTGGCATTGGGTTTACCAAGAATAGTTCTCCTGTACCATAAAAAGAAGCTTCTGGCAACTTGAAATATTGTCTCTTTTTGTGTGAAACGCTAACAAAACTCTTTCCCTTCCCAGTTACCTGCTTAATTAAGTGAAATCTAAACTAAATTAAATATTGTGTAACTTTTAAAAATGGATTTTTCCTTTCTAAAAATTAATCTGGTTTTATTTTAGTGCCTTGAAAGAAATGACCTCTGGATGGCATCTTTGGAGAAGTATAAAAGCGGGAATCATGCCTTTCCTACGGTGCTCTGCTCTGTTCTTCCACTATTTAAATGGCGTTCCAGCACCACCAGAATTGCAAGGTATTTAATCAGGCACATTGAAACAGCATTGCAAATCATTCATGAATACTATTTTAAATTCTAATAATTAATTTATATTATAACTTTCTTAATTCACTATTATAACTAGTTATGACAGGGTGTATGTGATTTTATAGGAAGTGGATAATTTGAAATTATAGATAAGTCACAGTAATTGCACACAACTTAAAATGGATAAAGATCTAAGATATGCTTAAACATGTAAACATACATTCTGGTTAGGGATGTGTTGATGCCAGGATGTCTTGCTTGTTTGACTTCCTGCCCACTTGCAATCCAATGATCCAAAGTGGGCTAAGTTAGGGTTTTTTCCTAGCTTTCTAAGCTGCAGTTTTTTTTCATTTTTTTTAGAACATCTTAAGAAAATTCATGCAATTTGCAGAAATTTATGCAATTGCTGACATACCAGTTTCTGTGCAAATCAGCACCCAGAAAGCATGTGGCCCTTTTGTGATTTGCATAAAATTGGCCATTTCGTATAAGGACTGCATACCCTTCCAGTGCCAATTTGTGCAAAATGGTGGATTTTTGCTTTCTGGGTATGAATTTGTACTAATTGCATAAATGTATATAATTTCTCTGACAGCTTTTTATGTGTAGATTGTGCTGTTTTTAGAGACAGAATCTTTAACCTGCCTTGACATGCACCATAATGAGTCAGTGCCAGCAAAGGGCTAGCGAACCAGTATCCAGGGCCCAAATCATAAAAATCCAGTGGTTTTTCACCCCTTATCAGATTTTTCATGCATTTCTAATTCATAAACATCTTCAGTATAAAAAGCTAAATATAAAATACTGTGTTCTAAATTCAAAGGAAGTTAACTGTGCTAAAATCCCATTAAAATAATTAGGGCAATTTAGCAGTTACTAATTATATTCCCCATTAATTTCAGTGGGTTTTAGCATAACCAGTCAACTTTGGATTTAGGCTGTTTATTTGCTTTCTAAGCCATCATGAAAGTTTGTTAATTTCTTTGGGAATATGGGAATACTAAGGTCATAGTATGGGAATTACTATTCTATATTATGGATTATTCTATATTACTTTCTATATTATATATGGGAGATTTTTATGGCATGTTTATCCTGAGTCCCCTATTATTCTGCTTCACTGGATGACCCAGAGTATTGTAAGAGATGGGTTGTACTGCTTAGTCATTCTTCAACCATTCTCTACCTTAAACTGTTGAAATAAAGTTCCATAAATGGGTTTCTCTTGATTATTTGTCTTGGTAAAATTGGAGGCTATTGTCTATTATTTAACTGTGAGATTTAATGTATACGGGGAATTCTTCATAGATGCTTAAATATTAGGTTTGGCTGATAATAATAATGCATCATATTTCTAATTTTACAGTTAGCGGGATAAACCAATTTGAAAATTTATGTAAATATCTCTCCTTGCCAAACAACCTCACTTGCCTTTTTGAAGAGAACAGCAAAATTACAAATACATTAGTAGAAAGGTAGGGACAATATTTATTATTCCAATTTACATATGTTGACTGTTAGATATATTTATTGTGCACGTATGAGGTGGGAAATAGGGTTGGGCCAGTGATTATGTGCCACTGGACCAGGAATCTAGGGTACTGCTGCTGTTGCTCCTGTGCTGTGAACATTCATATCATGTGCCAGGCATTACCCAAAGGATACTGGGCTGCACCCTTGAAATAAGAATTACTTTACCACTGATAGTTAGCCTCCTGATGTAGGAAGGAAGTGAATATGGAGAAGTGGATATGAATTGTCAGTGTAATTTTCTAGTGTAATTGTCACTGTAGAAATTTCTCTTACAACTTTTTACAGTAGAGTTGGAATAGATATTTCATGCAAAGGGCATTTCTCTCTCAAATGAAAATGTACAGACATTAGGCAAGTCATTTTGAGAAGTTTCTTAGCACTGAGAGTATTTGAATTACATTGGATTGGATCATGAATTACTTGTTCATGAATGAGATCTGAGGAGCAGAATCATGTGATTCTTGAACTGGCTGCTACATCGATGATACTAAAGCATTTTATTTTCCTCTCCTTCTGTTGAAGCTGGTGCAATAACAGTGAAGTTAAAAAATACCTGCAAGGCCAGAGGCATGCCATAAGGTAAATGAATGTTTCACAACTGGTGAAGCTTGTGAGATCCGCTGAGTAATCTGGAAATGGCAGGTGCTTGTTAAGTGTGGCCCTACACAGTGTTTGAATGGAAAACTACTAGAAGCTCCATGGAAGAATAGGATGTATATATAGAACAAATATTTTAAAACGCTTTTAAAATTGCAGAAGCTTGTAATTGCTTCAGTTAGAAAATCCAGAGGTAGATTTCGTGGGGAAGTAGCTGAGCAGATCACAGGAAGCCTGTGCAACATTACCCACTGTTACATCTGAGCTGTAAAATACGTAATAACAGAGAACACATGAAGACCGCTTGCTGACAAATAAGACTTGCAGATTTGTTTTCAGAAAGGAAGTAAGTGCATCCTTTCCAAGTTAAGATTGTGCACCAACATCTGTGTATAATTTTTAGCTAATGTCACACTTGTCATTTAGTTTATTTGGTAAATAGCACTGTAGCATCACGAACTGGAGAGCAGGGAGGGTTTTCAAGTTAGATTTGTTGCTTGATGAAGTTGATGCCCTTGTTTCTTTTCAGCTATCCCCGAGAATCTAACAGATTAATAGACCTGCCTGATGATTACAGCTGCCTCATCAATCAAGCATCTAATTTTTCGTAAGTCTTGTGCAATTCATTATGACCCATTTGATTTTCACTGGAATAAATCTGAAACTACCCTACAGCACTGTGGTGTAGGGCATATGCTTTGCAGCCTGTAGCACCTCCAGTTAAAGGTGCCTGGGGTAGCAGAACTGGGACCTGGGACAATGCTAAGCAATGCGAATCAGGGGTCCAGCTGAGAATAAGGCAGCTTCCTGTGTTTAACTCTGAATTCTTCAAAAAATGTGCAGAAATGCTTAGTCATTGAACTCTGCAGCTTCTCTGTGCTTGCTCACTTTTACTGGAATAAGTTAATAGTGAAAAATCTTGGCTGGGATCCTTAGTTGTCCTCCATGAGCTAAAAGGCATTCTGCCATGTCCAAATTTCATTGCACTGCTCTTTGGGGTTCTAGCAGACTATCGAGAGGAGGATGGTGCAAGAAAGCCCCACTGCACCCAGAGCATTCTTCTTGGGTCCATCTGGGGAATGCATGTAATAGTGAAGAGCAGATCATGCAGTATATTGACCAGATTTTCTATTTCCTGCAAAGGTGTCCAAAGTCGGGCGGTGATAAAAGCAGAGCACCAACATTGTGTCTTGTATGCGGGACTATGCTGTGCTCTCAGAGTTACTGCTGCCAAACTGAGTTAGAGGGAGAAGATGTAGGTGCATGTACGGCACATACGTATACCTGTGGTTCTGGAGTGGGAATTTTTCTCAGGTAAGTATGAGGCTGCACTTGATTAATTCAAGTACATTGTCATGCTTTAAGAAGAGGAGCTATCTAGTATCAATTATTTGATGGTTTTTACTCTGTGCTCCTCTCCTACGACCACACATTAAGGAAGGAGGTATTGACGGTATTGTGAAAATGCCTCAGTCCTTCCATTTGTTCTGTGGGAATGAACACTAAGCTCTAGAAACTGATTGCTTAAAAGACATGGGGAGTTTCTGTGACTAGGATGTCATCTTGGGTATGTTTTTTTCAGAGTACGGGAGTGTCAAGTGCTATTCCTAGCTGGAAAAACAAAGGGCTGTTTTTATCCTCCTCCCTACCTTGATGACTACGGAGAGACTGATCAGGGACTCAGGTACTCTTGCAACTTTGTATTTTTAATCCTAGAAGGATTCTTCCTAGAGAGAAGATGTTTGTAAAAAAAATGTTGACACTAATCACTTAGGATGGCCATTTCTATAAGTCAAATGCACAGAGGAGTAGACATTCTGGAGTGTACTGCATTGGAAAGTCACAGCAAATTTTAAAGAAGTTGATTTAAACAGTTGAATGGTTTTGTTGAAGCAAGTCCTGCTTTGGCACCACAGAATGAACTTGCAGACTGAAGCTCAGGGGCACTGCTCAGCAAATTCTCCCCAGGGAGATCTTAAACTGGGCAAATCTTTTGGACATTTAGCCCCGAAATATGCACTTTTAGAGTCTGGGGGAGGCATTGCCCTCATTAGCCATCTGTGTGCAATGAATTGGAATGAGGAAACAAGCAGCACCTGATGATGGCCTACTTAACATTTTATATACCTCATCTCAAATGTTCAGAATGCTTTACAAAGCTCATATCAGTACTCCTTACAGTGGCCTTGCAAGGGATGATCATGGTGCAGGTGAGGGAATAGTGAGTTACCTAAGACCACAACTAATATGGATAAGGTATGGTTTGAAATGAGATATTCCAGATCAGTGGCTTTTATTTTTCCCTCTCTGATGTACCATCTCAACATGCCTGTCTACTGTTAGTGCGCCATCAGTTATATAGTGTATGTTAGAAATGTTAAGCATTCAAATCCTAGAGTGTGGTTTTATTATTAATCACTATTTTATTGACTTTTTTTTCCTAGACGTGGAAATCCTTTACATCTGTGCAGAGAGCGATTTAAAAAGATTCAAAAACTCTGGCAACAGCATAGCATCACAGAAGAAATAGGACATGCACAAGAGGCAAATCAAACTTTAGTAGGGATTGACTGGCAGCATTTATAACTTATTTCTTGAAGACTAGAACTTAATGTCCATTCTTTTGTAATCCAGCAAAACTCATCAAACAAAAGGAAGATTAGGAAACAAAGGCTTGAAAAAAATGAGAAGAATCTTGTTCTTTTATTAACTTTTCCATATTTGTTTTGTAAACTTCCTGGTTACCATAACCATGTGAACTTTTCTGTGTAGCATATTGATTAATAGTATTATTTGCACTGTGCTTCCTTCATACACAACCTGTTGATTTCTATAACTTGGGCTGACGAATTTGCATTTCTTGTACAAAAGTGGCCATCTCCTTGGAGTCTGGCTGAAATCTTTTTTGATAACTAAGAGGGGAGGAAAAACTCTGCTGAAATGGCAACTAGACTAAGCACAATGTCGGTGGTATGATTGCCCTTTTGTAGTAAATCTGAGCCATTTTGGATTTTAGTACTTAAAACTGTTCTATATTTCAAATGGAATGAAATAAGGGTGCAAAAATGTAGCAATCAATTTATCTCTAAGAGTGCATAAAACACTCACTGTATCTAAAAGAACTTCGTAATCTGCAGCCTTGCAGGGCTCTTTTGCCTTTGTATTTCTTCTAACTAAAAAAGAGGATACTTAATAAGGAAATTTTAATTTAACAATCTTTTTGAAGTCTTGCACTCTTTAGAAGTATTGTGTTGGATTGTGATATTGACATCGTGGGGAAAGAGACTTTGTTTTCCATGCTGTGATTGGTAGTCTTTGATGTTCTAAAAGGTTGACATTTTTTCTTAGAATGAGATATTAAAACCACCCATCAGAGAAGTCATGTGAACCTTGATTTAATGTCAAATGTAAAAGGAAGAGAATAGAATTTCATTTTTGAAAGATTTGTTCATTTCTGTCTTTCAAGATTCAGAACACATTTGGCTTTTAACAGTTCTCAAGATTACATTGAAAGCAAAGTAAAAACCACGGACTCTTTTTTCCTTCCCCTTGCCGCCTCCCCATATGCACATTGCAGAGCCAGAGTTACAAAGTTTTCTGGCTCTTCCTTTCCTCATTTACAGCGCCATCCACATGAATTTGCACTTGGCTGGCATTCTGTAAAGAATTTTGCCTATAGTATATTTTATAAATGTACTGAAATAACTGCACAGATTTTGCACATACGTTCCTGAAGACAGTGAATTTTCTAAATATACATGTAGCCTCCAAGCAAACAACATATGATAGCATATTAGACTTTTGGAAGAGCTTTCACACTCTTCATCCTATCCAAATATCCTTTTTAAAAAGCAGATATCAAAATAACTACATAATCTCCTTTGCATAATTATAAGTTGTAATCTCACCTATTTGGAAGTCTTGGTTTTGTTGTTTTTTAAATTTCATTTTCAGTGCAAAAAAGCCATCCTTAAACATCCAGCATACCTTAAATGGTTGTGGTCCCGTCCCCCCCCCCCCCCCGGCCTAATTCATCAGCTAATGTTCACAGTGTTTCCTGCAGTCTTGCAATATTTGCAGTGCACACACAAGACACAGATACAAAACTAAAGACCAGTTTTCTTGGGGCAGTTTCTGACAGGACGGGCTTACCAGTCTAATCAGTCTTCCTACATGAGTTACTAATTCTGGAGCCTCACTTTTTTCCAATGAGTGTTGTGTAACTAATTAGCAGGAACATATTCAATCTTCATTTTCCTTTTTTAAAAATTAGGATGTAGCTAAGACTATTTGATGTGCATGTTACACTTAGTGTACTATTTCTGCTCTAACATGGTTTCTTTGAGCTTTTGACAAACTTGCTTTAAGGCGTATATAGTAACAATACATTAGATTCTGTTTTCTTCTCCTCATAGGTGCAGAAAAACAGAATAAAATAGCACCTGCCACCATTAAACTGACAGATTTCTGTGTGAAGTAAATATTGAGAGAATAAGCTATTTTTCCCCTCAGGTACTACAGTCCGAGACAGAAGTCAAATGGGTTGGTGGAATTATGCCGATAAACTATAGGGAAGTCTATAATTTATGCTGTTTTTCTGTAAGGTTGCTCATTTTTAACAACCCATTTTCTTCTCTGACTTTCTTCTTTTGCATGTATTTATGTTCATTGTAGAAATGTTTATATAATGAGCTTTCAGTATCAGGGAATTCACACCTGTAACGAATTGGCTAGAACGTTCATATCTGTGGACAACTTGTAAAAACTGAAATGTATCATATGTATAAAAGTATAAGAATAAATGCTTTAGGTGTTGACATTCAACTGAGGCTTGAACCTTTCTCACTTTTTTAAAGAAACATCTGCTGAGCGTAACAGTTGCTAGCTTGCATTTAAGAGAAATAGCCCAGATTTGCAGTATTTCTAGCTTCCAGCCTAAAGAAATTAATCTTCAATTATTTATCACAGTCATCTCAGTCCAGTATTCAAACAACTTATCTATGCTTTATTTAATTAGTAGTGTGCATTGCAGAGCATAGAAGTAGGATTGGCCCTAGCTCATGCATCCTCATCAGGCAGCCAAACGGGAACAATGGCAGACTGAAGCACTTTTCCCCTGGCCCTGCCGAGAGAGCCTCAGTCGCTACTCTCTCGCAGTGGCATTTGCCACCATGGGATTATAGCTGGTAGGGCTCTCCAAAGCACTGGGGGCTGCTTCCTACTGCAGATGTGGGGCTATGGAGCTCCCAGGCTCTCACAAGAGCTCAGCCTGCCTCTCTCAGGGGCCCCACAACAGTGGCAGGGCCTGGCCAGGCAGGTAGGGCGAGGGAGCAGCAACCTGTAGGTTGCTCCAGAGAGCTCTGCTGGCTGCTCTCTCGCTGCACTGAGTGTCCCAGCATAAGACACTGGTGCAAATTGCCAGAGCACCTGCCAGAGGAGGCAGTGGGCAGTGGCAGGTTGGCAGAGCAAGTGGTGGGCCAACCAGCCATGGCAGCAATGCCTCTCTCAAGGTGGCAAGATACAATGGACTTTCACCTGCACTGGGTGAAAGCCACTCTTTGCTGCAAAAATGGGGGTTTGGAGCAAAAGCTAGATATGTTTTTGTGAACTTAAGTTGCTAACCTTAAAAAATGGATCATGATTCCTTGAATATAAGGAAATAGTGTTTGGGTCTTGGTTGTCGCAGGGACAACACTGAACTGTAACTACAAAGCTTACCTTAAGTAGTTCTTGTACATGTAACCACATCCAAGGAATGTTTTGTTTGTCAGCATAGCAAACATTTTCAACTCTCCAAAATTATCCTCAGAGTGCTTTATTTGGCATTTTCTTCAATGTGGATATGAAAGGAATGTATGTTAAGAGTTTTCCCTATAATACAAAGAGATGGTTTGCTTTGCTGGAGATGACTGGGAAACAAACTGATGTAGACAGTGGAGAAAATCCCCAGGATTCCAGGGAAACAGGCTGCAGAGATGGAGAAGAACATACCTGCCCAGTGGGAGGTCAAAACAATCAAATGTACTTGTTGACACTGGGTAATAGTATATTTAAGTGTGCTAGAGAAGCAGGCCTCTCTGTTTGATACCTTCAATAATTTGTGTCTGGCTCCTTTTCTCTAATGTGGGCATAATCGAGAGATCCAAAGGACCAAACAAGCACAGGTCTGTTGGTCCATGTGCCCAGCAGGATTTTGCAGGTCCATCTTCTAAGAGCTGCCCAAAGCAGCTCTTGAGCGTCAAAGGATACTCCTCTCCTGAGCAGCATTAAGTATGACACAACATCCCCAGAAGCTGAGATTGGCTGCCTTGTATTTGAAAAGTATTTAAAAGTACATGCTTTTATAATGCACCCTTTTATTATGTATGTGGGTTGTTGTTCTGATGGGGAGTATGTGCAGCAGGGGAGCCACTGTTGGTGTTAACAGCAATTCCTAAAGCAGACAAATGAACCAAAATACTTTTTTCTGGAACAGATCAGCAGAGCTCTCAGAAACGTATACTATTGATCAGTTCCACTTGCACTCATAAATGGCATGTGCCTTTCTGATACAAAATACCACTATTGAGATGATGGGAAATCTTGCGTGCAGTTCTCAGAGGAGTCTTTTTGGCTACCAGGAAGGAAAAGATGAGGTTTAGCAGCCTGTGTGCTTGAACCCAAGTATATCAGAAGCACAGAAATGGTGCACCTGAGCTCCTTTGGCAAGAACAATGTATGGATGCTACAAAATTATCCGGTGGGGTTCATGCAGGCACATTCATCTTGGTGGTGTATGAACAAACAAGTCATTGCAGTTGAAATCAGATAAGGCTTATATATCATCGGATGTCACTTTAAAGGCTATTTTTTCAGCAGAGTTGCTTTGCTCATTCAGTTGAAACGTACAAAGTGAAGTATTTACCAGCCATTGGTTTGAATTCAGATATAAGGTAATTGCATTTGGGCCCTACTGAATTTTATGTGAAAAATTAGGACTGAAGCCCATTGATCTCAATGGGAACAAAGGGCACCACATTTCATCTGAATCCAGTCATTGTGTTCTTCCACATCCATCTCCCTATCCCACACACTGATTTTATCCTCTGGAGTATGCACATTCTTCTTGTATCTGGGTAATAGTTTAAAAAAGGGTAAGGATAGTTTGTCTTTGGGCTTGAAAATAGATCTCTGCATTTCCTGATCTGTTTCCTTGTTGGAAAAAAAAACGTCCAGGCATTTATCTCCCAGTAGGGAGCTGTTAGCATGTGATGATGTTCTATTTCTCTGGCCTTATCTCTTAATCAATTAACCTCTAATGCTCTTCTTTTAAAGAGCATTTAAAAAATCTCTTGGTCTTCTAAGGTCAATGTCAGCTGTAATATGGGAGAATAGCAATACATTTCATTAACTTTGTAGTGTTTCTGAAATGCTTTTTAACATTCTACTGCTGCAATTACCAGTTTAAAGGAGGTCACCCTTAGTCCAAGTGGAGTCTTCTGCTTTTGCTATGTAAGCAGTACATACATAGAAGCAGCCATTGTCCGGTATTAGATGTCCAGGATAGAAGAATGCAAGCAGGTTAATCTTATAAATTGTATTAAGGTTACTTAGGAATAATTAGCTTGGAGGAAGCTGTGCATCTTTCCCAGTCTTTCACCAGATATTCTGTGCCTTGGGAGGAGCAAAGGAATTTTCTTTCTTCTTACATCACGATTAAATGCTTAAATTTCGGCAGAAGTAATGGGTTGCTGTCTTCACAGAGCTTCCTAATCAAATCAGTGCTCTGTATTTGGCATTTTTATAAAACAGAACTAGCTTGGAGATAGTTTGCTTTAAGCAGCTATTCTTTCCCAAAAGCAGGGAATGCTGCATAGTTGGAACTGAGCAGGTGTGGCTAAGAGGTCCAGTGGGCTTTGTCTTGATGGTAGGCAACAGCTTCACACATCCCATTAATGGCCTCGGTGTCTAGCATATGGATGCCAGTTCATGTAAATCAAAGGTGTTGCTCTTGCAGAGCATGTTTCTGAGCCAGCCCAAAGACAGTCATGCAAGCACTTGGGAAGGGCAGGAACAAGATTTCCACGTAGCAAGACAAAGCATTATACGTTGCTTCTACCTTGTGGCCCTCCAGCTATTTTGACCTGCCACTCAGCCCTAAACAGCAAAGCCAGTGGTGAGTGATCATGGGAGCATAGATCAAGCCAACCTGGAAGGCTACAAGTTGCCCACCCTTTTTCTGTGCAAACAGTTGTTAGTCGCGAAGTTGTGTCTGGCCCATCGTGACCCCATGGACAACATTCCTCCAGGCCTTCCTGTCCTCCACCATCCCCCTGAGTCCACCTAAGCTCACGCCAAGGAAGAGTGCAAAAGTTGGCTTGAACCTCAACATTAAGAAAACTAAGATCATGGCATCTGGTCCTCCCACTTCCTGGCAAAGAATTTTATTTTCCTGGGCTCCAAGATCACTGCTGACCGGGACTGCAGTCAAGAAATTAAAAGACTCTTGCTCCTGGGAAGGAAAGCTATGGCAAATCTAGACAGCATACTAAAAAGCAGAGACATCACCCTGCCAACAAAAGTGAGTATAGTCAAGGCTATGGTTTTCCCAGTTGCAATGTATGGCTGTGAAAGCTGGACCATAAGGAAGGCTGAGCGCCGAAGAATTGAAGCCTTTGAATTGTGGTGCTGGAGGAGACTCCTGCAAGTGCAAACAGTAGCTTGGCATTATTCCAGCACTGCTGGATTCTTTTGAGATGGAGGCATGGGAGCTCCCTGCCTGAATTGACCGTTGTGTCTCTGAAGGGTGGGTGCTTTTGACCTCAAATAGGCCAGCAGCTGCCCAGTTCCAACATCCATTCAGCTGAGAATTCTTGACAGAGAGCTAAACATGTTCAGAGAATGTGTACTTCTGAGTGTTTCTTTTACCACTCTTCAAAGAAGGGAAATTTTATGGCAGCCCTTCCAGTGGAGGATTGTTTTCTGTAAAGTAGGACACATGACCACCCTATCCACAATCTGGAGGAAGCAGGGAATGCCCTATAATTTTCATGATCTGTTGTTTGTTGGTTTGTGAAACTATCCATGGCAATTTTCATACTTTTCCGAAGGAGTTTTGGAGCGGAACTAGGCTGGCAAGGTTCACAGTAAGCTATTTGGACTGACTTGTGACATTCTACAAATTTGTATTCCCTTTGTATATCTGGTGGTGAATACTGAGGGACTGTATAGGATCACTTCATGTGCTATATTTTAGGTGCCTAGCAAAGATACTTTCTGAGGATGCCTGTAAATATAGAGATTGGGAAGTGAGCCCAGAAACTTCATGCTACCAGTGAATTGCTGGAAGAGTCTTTTGTCCATCTTCCCAGAAATTAATTAAATCTCACTGAAGGAGAAGCAATTTTTTTTAAAAAAAAGCAAAGCAAAAAGCCCAGGTAAGCGAACTCTAAAGAAGAGACTGTCAACAAATTCTGCTGTTTGTATTGCTTTTCTGTATATTTTACTGCTTAGAATTTTGAAGTGCAAACTAGCCTAAGTGCCTTGATGATATATAAATCCAGTAAATAAATCTGTGTTCATAGAGCAGAAGTGTGGCAGGAGATGCATGTTTTATCCATTTATTACATGGTTATCTTTTATTTTTTCATCAAAGCTTTCAAAGTGGATTCATAGGGTTCCCATGCAGGTATTGGCATAATCCAAATCTGCTGTTGCACCATGTTTTCCAGTGATGACCATTAGTCAGCCCTTACCTATCCTGGCTGTACTTCTATCCAGCGTACACTAGCTGGCAAACTCAAGTTCTTTGTGGTCTTTGTGCATCTCATATATGGGGGCTCTGG